GAACTTGATGGTGGACTTGACCTCGTTGACCTTGTTGGCCATGTCCTCGGCGTGAGAGACGGGGGTAGGGAATTTACCGGCTATTCATTCATTAGCACCACACGATTCATGCAGTAATACCCCTCAGGGAGGTATTTGGGGGTGGGGGAAACTCACCCTTAGAGAGACCAGGACCCAAGAGACGGGGAATCTGCTTGATGAGGGTGTCGGAAGCAAGGAAAGCATCGTACTTGCGAGCAAGCTTCTTGATGAGCTTCTTGTTCTTGTTCAGCTTCTTCAGGTCGTCGGCGGACATGGCGTCAATGCCGTGGTGCTTGGCACGGTCGAGATCGTGCTGGTCACCAAGAACACTATCCTTTCATCAGTATTCTATCCTTTCTCTCTCTCTCTCTGTCTTATTCCGAAGGTATTTCTCCGGTGGTGATGGTGGTATCATACCAGATGGTCATGTTGGGACGGGGAACGGTAGGCAGCTTGATGGTACCAGAGAAACGCTTGTCACGCTGGGGGTCGTAGTTCTTCAGACCGATCTGAAGCTCGACGGTCTCGAGGAAGTTCCTCTTCTTCTCATTCTGAGAGTAGTTGAGCAGCTGCTCGATGTTCTGGCGCACTCCGGCTGTTCACGAATCATTAGCATCCTTCATTCATCATACATATAACACATCCTGCTGTGATATGAAGATGCAACATACCGACTGTGATCTTAGACATGGTGCTGACAGTCTTCCAAAAGAACTTGAAATCCTTATGGTGTGGCTCTGCGCTGAATATCGGGTCAAAAGATCAAAAGAGGGAAGAAAATCAGGCCGGGCGCCGCGCTTGGAGGGCCGTGAGAAAATCCGTTACGACTCCGCTTTGTGTGTGGATGGGTCTAGCGGGTTTGGGTTTAGCGCTGCCCTAATTTGCATTTGCTGAGTCAGGTGCATGAACTGCTGTTGTGCGGGCCGTTGTGAACATCACAATTGGGAGGTCTACTTACTCCGTACAGAGTTAGTCAGTGATTGGCCCATGATAATCTCTCAGGTATTACTAGTTATAGTATGCTTGTTTGATTTCGACGTAATTCTGATCTTTTAACAGGTGGAGGTATACTTTACAACACGGACAGATTCGTTACGTAGACATATGATGGCTACCGAGGATAGAATGCTTCCCATACTCCGTTAACGTACTAGAGAGTATCATAGTTCACTATGCGCTACTGAATATCTAATTCTAAAACAAGAACGCTAATCCCAAATTTGCCTTCGCTCTATCCGCAGCTGGTAGATTCTCATAACCGAGACAATTGCTCGCCCACTTACCAACTCACAGTTTAGCCTGCGCCTGTATCTGCTCATCACTCACCAAGCCAGCTTCAATAGCCTTGATCTGCAGAGCCAGGAACTTGGAATAGATCCGACACAAGGCAAGATTTCCGCCCATGTACCAGAAACCGGGGTGTCCGCTGGGGCGCCACATCTATAGAAAGTGCTTGTTAGTGATGACGAAGTTGAAGCAAGCGGGAAGAAGTACGTACTGCGTTGATTTCTCCCTCCTCGTCTAGATCCCAGACATCTCGACATCGGTCCGCAACACGGTCACCTAGTACTTTCCGTACCGTCGTGCGCATATTGTCGTAACCAGTCGCGAGGACCACGACATCGGCGGACAAGGCTGACCCGTCCTTCAAAACAAGGCCGGATTCCGTAAAATGAGAGATTCCCTCTGGGCTACGCTTAACCTTGATCTTTCCCGAGGCGATGAGCGGACTGCAGCCAACATCGATGTAGTATCCACCGCCGCGAGTCATATATGCACGTCCAAGACCAGCACCGTTGACGCCAAAGTCCAGTGCGAAACCAGCCTTTTCAAGGCCACCGAGGAGATCTTGCTCGGCATGCGCCACGCGCCTGGTGAAATGCTCGCCCAGGGCAAACTGGACAGGGAATGGAAGACATTCATGCAGCAGGTCGGCTTCTTCGGTAGGAGGTCTGCAAGAGTTAGAGGCCTGCGGGTTCGAGACAGGGATAAGACGTACCCGTAATCTTCGTGTTGACCCTCATGCATCATGAAGATACCCTTCTCAACGGTAATGACATAAGTCCCGCGCCGTTGCAGCATAGTCACCTGCGCGCCATTCTCGCAATAGTTCTGCGCGATATCATGGCCGCTGTTTCCAGTGCCGACCACGACGACCTTTTTGCCTGCTACCTCGTAGTGGGATGCATCTGTGTGCTGGCTGCCGTGGTATACTGTGCCCTTGAACTGCGACTGGTTTTCGAAGCTGGGAACTAAGGGTTCTCCTGAGTGTCCCGTGCACCAGATCAGGTGGCGTGGGCGCAGTGTACGCTCACTTCCATCGCCGCGGACTACCACCACAGTCCACTGCTTCTGGGCATCATCGTAGTCGGCAGATTTGATGGAGGTTTGAACCCAAACATTCAGTTCCATGATCATAGCATAAGCCTCAAACCAGTCGGCTAGTTTGTCTTTGGGGGTAAATTGCGGCCAGTTCTTCGGAAAGGGAAGGTATGCCATATGGGTGAATTCTGCAGGGTCATGGGTTACGAGGGTCTATGAGTACAGGTCAGACGGCGAGTCAGGTTATGTGTATCGCAAGCGTAGCTCACCCTATAGCGCTTCCGCCAATTATCTCCGATACGTTCATTCCGGTCGACGATGAGATGCGATATCCCGAGAGAATTGAGCCGAGCGGCCATGTTGAGACCTGCCTGGCCTAGAAGTTGACTGGTTAGCTTATTCCTACTGCACGAAAGGCGAGGTCTGCGTACCGGCTCCAACAATGAGGGTCGTAGGCTCTTCTTCCTTGAATTCAATTGTCCTCTGGCGTCGCTCGAGCCAGTTGCCCTGGTTGAGTCCACCAGGCATTGTCTCGATCGTGCCGTATGCTCTTCTGATGCCCAATGGCTCCTCGAATTCCTTCAATTCTTGCAAAGTTGTATACATCGCATATGCCTTCCACTCTCCTGCGTCGTTCTGCGTCAGATGAATGACCCCGGAGCCACGCCCCACACTAGTCTCGAAGAAGATGATGGAGTTTATCCAGTTCAGCCCCTCCGCGGGGCTTTCCATCCTGGGCTGGAATTTGCCCTCATGCTGCAGACGCAGAGCAGAAAGACCCGCGCGAGGCTGATTAGCAGCCAGGAAGTCTTGGATCTTCGCGCATCCCTGGATGGTACGAAAGTCCCAGACCAACGCGAGCATGTCCCTCCACCAGGAGTCCTCATGGAAGACTCTTCCTAGCTGGGAATAGTTCCCCGTGGCGAGAAGAACCTCCAGATCGGTGATCCATCGCTGGGCAATAGCTCGAGGATCTAGCGGACCGATAGAGGATGGTGTTTTAGGGAGCTGGATCACGTAGTTGCTTTGAGCAAGAGACATGACGGGGAGTAATCCAATGTCACTGTATCTTCGTAGATGTTGTCGAGAGATGGAGCGGCTGGGGCGGGAGGGCCAAGTTGAAGTCTACGAGCCCCTCGTTGTATAAATACCCCGAGCTCTCCACATTGGACCCATAGTTCCATTGTTGAACACAGCTGACGAGGGGGAGCGGAACCCGCTCGGAGAATTAGCAGATGGACATGCTCCGATGGGACGCAGTGGACCGCAAAGAAGTCCGGGGATGATGGATCATATGGGGACCTCGAGGCGAGTCCCACTCGTTTCTCGTCTATGGACGTAATTCGTGGCAGTCTCGAGTGGAGTGTTGAGCAGCAGCAGCTGTCAGTTGTCACTGATAGGAGTCCATCGTGGCCATCGATCATTCATCAATAAATTCAACCGATGATGGGATGGAGGGGGGAAGTTTCCAGTCTGGGCCTGGCGATGATCCAGCGCCTAAATTGCCCGAATTGGGAAGTTATCCTGATAAGCCCAGGATCTCTCGGCACACTTACCCCGCAAAGTGTTGATGCCTCTCATCTCCATCTGATGAAAGATACTATCTACTCCATGTCTTTGCTTGTTGGGAGTGGAAAGGCACCTAAACTCAGCAACATGAAGTGGACACCCTGTTGATGGCTGTGCGGGTGGAATATATATATGACAAATAGCTTCTAGGAAGATTTGTGAAACTGACACCTTTGTGTCTTCGCTACAATATCCACCAATAATGGTAAGTAGTATACGGTCTCGAATATGCTAGCTTGGCTTAGTATCTAATATGACAAGTAGATTTTCCGCCAGTCATTTTGGTCTGTCAGAGGCCATCCACAAGACACACTCTAGAACGCTGTGAATAAACATTTGCCAAATGAGAGAAAATCAGTCAAGCCATGAACTGTGGCATGTCTAGGGGTAGCAATCATGCCACGGAACTAGCTGAGATACATTCCTGCTTGGAAATCCAAGGCATTGTTGCTCTTACTCTCAAGGCATCCAGAGTTGCTCGTCAGAGCTTGCTTCACTCAGACTACCTACTCGCCCCATGCTTAGTAGTCTTGACTGCTCACATGTATCCAATGAGTAGAAAGTCGGGCGTAATGGATGCTGAACAGGATGAAAAACAAGCAACTGAGTTATACTGAAAAGCCAAGAAGGCACACTACTAAACGTGCTAGGGGAATGTGTCGAACCGTTGAGCTCAATAAAAGCCCAGAGAGGGGATCCAAATCGATACCCCGTGACTGCCTGAAAACTAACATTAAGAATAACCTCGCCATTGACAACCTTGACAGCAACTCAGTTCAACTCTCAATCTCCAAGGAATTCATAGCAGGACAATGCCGGTGTAACCTGCCCGAAACCGTTTCTCTGACAGCCCCCATGGACATTCCAATAATCCCCATGCATCCGGCTTTCCCTCCCAATCCGGATCCAACAAATCCGGATCATGGCAAGGGATGCAACCACCGATTCACAATACACTCGGTGAATGAATGGATCATTGTCTCACCAATGTGTCCCCTTACACCGCCATGCATAGTCCCTTATAAAGCGGTCCCGGAATCAAGGGGGAAGAGGGGTTACAGAAAAACAAAGACACTGACTGCCAACTCGCCGAATTCGTCCATTGTTGACCGCGATCGTCGTTCTTTCTTCATTCAGGTACCACAGTTCTCCTCCTGCATTTAGTTATATACTTATATACTACCTGCAAATCCTTCACAAACCTGCTCAAACCCTCTCACCCACTAATTCACTCACGCATTCTTAGAAAGCCAAACTTGCTCGCGAAAACAAAGATGCTATTCAGATCCGCCCTCCTCGCAACCGCTTTGTGCCTCTCCGCCACGGCTGCGGCGAACACCAATGCCCCCGTCGTCACTGACAACGATGATGTGACCTACTACGCGCAGCTACAGCCCAAGGATAACACCACTGTCCGCGGGTCTGTGACCATTTTGCCTAAGCCTAGCGGCGTGGGTGTCCTTGTTTCGGCGCACTTCTGGGGAATCCCCGATAATGAACAGCAGTTGGGTACGCTTACTTCCATTTCCTCCCGCTCCTTCATATCGATCCATCAAATGGGGCTTGTGTTTAGAGTTTCCATACGAATCCGAACCCAAACTCAAACCTTGAGTTAATAGCAAACTTACACATCCATACTGACCTATTTTTGAAATGATCAGTCTACCACATCCATCAAAAGCCAGTCCCTAAGGACGGAAACTGCTACAGCACCGGCGCCCATCTGGACCCTTACGGCCGCGGCGATGCTACGCCCTGCGACATCAACGCTCCCCAGACCTGCCAAGTCGGCGACCTCAGCGGCAAGCATGGACCGATCTGGGCACCCGACAACGAGGAATTTACTACCACGTACACTGACTGGTTCCTCTCTAATGTGGAGGGAGAGCCTGCTTTCTTTGGAAACCTCTCATTGGTCGTGCATGCGGCGGATAACTCGCGCCTGGCGTGTGGAAACTTTGTGCAGCTGAAGTAAGACTGGATTGATGAACAATTTCTGCTTGGGACTTTAATGTATTGTTGGGCTGGTGTTGTAATTGGGTTAGGTTTGGATTTAATACTTAACTATCGGCATGGTACGTCCTTGCCTATGTGAGACTCTGCACACAGCCCCGAGGTGTTCGTTTTGGAGCGTTTAGCTACTAAGCAGCCTACAATAACTTAATGAATTATCATAGCCTCGCGCTCAAAGCCTTCCCCCCTCTCTAAAGAACTTTCTGTTGAAATATTCTGCATTGAGTGTGCAATACATGAGCATCTTGATGAGATGCTGCTCAGAACCTTAACAATACCATATCCCTCTCACGGATTGATTACTTACAGACTGAAGATGGAAGATTTTTCTTCTTCCCCCCTCTCGGTATCCTGCCAGATTAGAGTAGTAGATTGATTTTGTATCAAGCGTCAATAATGACAGTAATACATTCTATTACTCTGTGTAGCAGGGAATTGAGCACTAACATCACAGTAAGCCGACTAGGAATAGTAACAGAATGCGCAGATCTGCAGTAAAGAACAAAGTAACCAATCGAGAGCACGAGGAATTCAAGTGGAAATAGAATTCAGCGTCACTTGACTATCCTTACTAAAAATCGTCTTACAATGCATAGAAATCTATTACTGTAATAAGTAGTTTCTATGTCTCTGACTTACTATTTTCGTTTTAAGGAAAGAAATATTGGCAATCATCGATTGATCGTGTTTGTCATTGATTGTATATGGAACGATAGTCGTGATCCTCTTGATTGTATACGTACGTTGTAGTCATAACAAATATATCATATCATGGGCGCAGACAGACAGTACGAGATCGAAATGCTGCGTTTGCTGCATTGTCCGCGGCGACTGGCGTCCATGCCTAGCCTATACGTGCATGCTCGTGTTCAGTAAGCATTGCTCGTCCACATGCCTCCCACCGTGCCAAAAGGAAAAAAGTCCCGCGGAAGTGGCTGCATGCTGACTGACGGACCATCCAGGTACGGTCATGCCTGAGGCGGGCAGCCAATGGTGGCGTTTCTTACGCGATATTAGATAGCTGGGGCTTTTAATGGCATACTCTTGACCAATGAGCACTTCAGGTGGGTTGTCCATCTAGACTCTCAATCCGACTTTGGATCGCCTGCTCGTCGTATTGGCCTTCTTCGCCCTCATATTCCTTCAAGACTACGGTCCGCATGAGCCGTCGCGGCGCCCGGCGACCTGTAAATAGCTCGAACTGGGCGAAACCTTGCTCCGGGAGGACATCTAGTCCGTCCAGAGCGACCCAGCCACGGTGCGAAAGTGCTCGGATTTGTTTCATCAGTGGGGTATTGAGCGTTTTATACGCCAGCTACATATTGGTTAGTAACGTTCATAAAAAAGGGCGTAAACACAGTGGTTTATAAACTGACCTCCACGACCACGCCTCCCGTTGGGCTTTCGAGCCACTGCACTGGCATCTCAAAGTTTGGGGCCGGCTGCCCCCCGATGCTGTGAGTTGGGATACATGAGCAGACGACGGTCGGCTGCTTGTAGTTGGCAGGCCAGCTGTCCTGTAGAGTTCGCAGCACGTGCACCTGAGGCCGTGCCGCTGACCCGGCCTGGCCTGGCGAAGGGAGGTTCTGGCGATTATAGTGGTAGGCGAGCTTTTCGGCATTCGCTATGGTCCGGTTGTAGACGAAGATATTCTGCACTCCCAGGTGTATCATGGAGTAAATGGCTGCGCGGGCCATGCCACCCGCGCCAATAACTAGCCCAGTAGATGACGGGCGGATGGCATTTGCGGGTGACAAGCCTCTTCGGAAACAATTTCCAATTCCGATCCAGTCGGTATTGTCTCCATGCAAGGCCTTGATCGGTCCTGCGCGACTCTTCTCCATGTACAGCGAGGAATTATCGGCGTCGAGGGCCTTGTCTCCCAGCCTCCGAATAGGAATTAGCGTGTTCACGGCGCCAATGGCTCGAGCATGTGGCGACATGGAATGCAGCAGCGGAATGGCTTCTGTTTTGAACGGCAGACTGACACTAGTGCCACCAAAATGCGGGTTTTCTACCAACTCATTGAGGCCTCGCAGAGACGACGACTGGTGGAGTTTGTAGTGATGCGGCATTCCGCATCGCTTATAGGCGGCGTTATGCATGGCAGGAGACAGACTGTATGTGATGTTGGCACCGAAAACAAAGAAATGTAAGGGATCCAAAGTGAATGAGGCGTACAGCGCCTCCTGTGCCTCACGGAGGGTGATACACGGCAATCCTTTCGATTGCGTCTCGGCGACCATTGACGGGTGAGTGACAGGGGTCAACGTCGGGTTGAAGCAGCATGACAACCGGCCCAATGGGCCCGTATTATACGCAATGATAGGCAGTTGCGGGGCCGGAAGGGACTTGATGTAATCGCGAAAGCGTTGCACAGCAAAGTTGTCGTCGATTGTCATCGCCGGCTGTGTGAGCCGAACCATGTCGCATCCTAACCTTTTGGCTCGCTCGTAGAGCTCCATATATTGTGCGTCATCCCAGCCCCGCGCCGGTGGCTGCACGGCAGCAAAGTGCCCAATAACTTTGCTCGACCCTTTATAAGCTATGACCTGTGAAAGTACCTTGTCGTCGTAGGACATGTCTACTGTCACAAACTCCGGGGCTAATCGTAGACCGTGCTGTACTAATTTGAGGTACTCTGCATCCGACCGCCGCGAGGGATCCTTGTGTTCTGCGCTCAAGCCATAACGACATACATTACTCTCCACGTTGTATATTAATGGAACGACCGTGTTCCGTCGGACATTGGCTACCGCCCGACTGATGTTATCGGCAAAACTCGAGTCCAGGCCGAGATGGGAGGAAGGTGGTTCGGCGACATCCAGCTTCAGCTCAAACGCATCAGAGGTCGACTCTAGCTCCTCAATGTCCAGATCACGTTCTAACATGGATGAGATAGGGACGGTCACGGCATATGTGTAGGTGCGTGATTCGACTGGTTGCATCGATAGAGGGAACGAAGAGTTATGACGACTGAGGTCCGTGGAGTCGCCCGTTGCGAACGCAATGAAACAAAGAAAATCACGCTGTAGTTGTTTGAGGGTCAGGAAAGGAGTGATTGCTTGTACTCGCTGATCAAGCTCCGATTCCAACGGCGAGTCTTGGTGGCCGTCTTTTGGAAGTGAGTGGTCCGCGATGCCCTTCTCGGAGACATTGAAGAACTCGAGATTGGAACATGCGCGATAGATGGGCCCCGAGAGTTCCAGAAAACGACGAACTTTGTCTGTGCTCCACGCTTTCAGATAAGACTGGATGCTCTCGGGGTCTCGGAGGACGTAGATAACCGGATGGGTCTTCGCGTACTCCCTCAACAACGTCTGCCCGCTGCGCTCCATGGACCCAGGCCCGCATGCGATGACGCAGCCCTCTTGGTTTTCGGAGAGCATGGACTCCATCACCCTGGCTTCCTGCTGACGATACTCGACCAAATCAAACTCCTTCTTGTAAGAAGCACGTGTACGGCCGGTCACCTGCTGAAAATACCGGTCTGCATCGATCAGTCGCCTACCCGAGGTGGCCGCCAGAATGACCGCTAGACTGGACTTTCCCGTGCCGCGGATTCCGGTCAACACAATGGACGCATTGGGAGCGAATTTCCTCTGAGCCTGGAAAGGCCCGTCAAAGGAGACTGGCGACTGACGATTGGAATTCAGCTCGCGCAAGGAAGCATTCAACCATGGCGACGCCTCTGAGTGTTCCGTCTGAGGAGCGGAATTGACACGGGGACGCGGAGGAGCATCGTCGCTGGGGGTAGGATCTACTGCATGGGGGGTATTCGAGGTGAAAGGGAGATGCGACAAGCGTCTGCTGTTCTGTTGCTCGACCGGACCTTCCAGCTCGTCTAGCTTGCGTTTGGGTGGATTCACGAGGATGGACATTTCGTGCACAGGAATTTTTGTTCAGGCTATACACGAGAAATCACGATACTGAGAAGAGGGCGATTATTAGACCCACGCATGGCGTAGGACGCGAGAGCCGAGAATTAGTTCCTGCAGGACCGACCGGGCGCATTCGAAGGTAAGCATTGGTTTGAAAAGGTCACGATGAGCCTGCGGAGGAGCAATCCAACTACTTGTGTGAGCGACGTAATAAGAAGAGGGCGGGAAATGCTCAAAACCCAAGAGTGTGGGGAGACATGAGCTAAGGAGGTAGTGTAGTGTAGAGGGGGGGGGTGGGAAGGGAAGGGACAAGGAGGGACGAACCTGGAGTGGCTGCAGTGCCAGGAAGGGACTGGGCGTGTTTGACGAGAAGGTGGAGATGGAGAATAACTACTGTTAGTAGAATAGTCAAGAGTGAGTAGTGAGGAGGAAGACGGAAGTGCGATCGAACCGCGGGGAAGAAACGACTGCCGAGCGAGTGGATACACTTTTGGCTCTCCAAATTCCAAAAGTGGTTGCGGACAAAGGCTCTGCCGTCGCTGGGCTGTATTTTTCGTATGCCTTTCGTACCTCATGTTACCGCCACGTCCGGATGACCCGGAATGACTCCGGCGGCCGAACAACCAAGTTGTTAAGGAAAGTTTAGTAGTAGTACTTTGCAGTAGACTTGAGTTAATTCAACTGAGTTTAGTTAACTGGGATGTGCCTTGTTCCTTGTCCTTGCATTGATACCCCGCGGGGAGGGCAGCTCAATCCCCAGCCAGCAATTGACCTAATACTCTTAGTTACATACTGAAATGCACACGCACTTTGGGTGCGGCTGGAATATGCCATGCGAACACAAGACTGGGTTAACCAGTAATAGTGGTAGTAGACGGGGGAAAGGTTAGTAAAGGGTCTGAAAATGCTGGAATCTGAATGGCTCTCCACACCTTCTCTTCCCCAAGTTCTACTAACACTTGGCTCCCTCTCACCCCCGGGCTCTTCGGACAACTTCCTAATTCCCGAACTGGACCAAAATCTCCCACATTATGATTCCACTATCCACAATCCACAATCCACACACACATAAGAAAGATTCATAATTTGATTACATTTGATTTCGTATTACCAAATGGATCCCCCCATCCCCGGCGCTTTACTCCATCTTGTCCACCGGGGACACTTAGCGTTTCCAATCCGTGGGTTCTGATGGGCCTCTTTGACCTCTTTTTGCCTTTCACACTTTCCACCACCAGTAGCACTTAGCTTTACACAAGTAGTATCCCCAATCGCGATGCAGCAAAAGTGGCCTATGGGGGCGGGCGCTGACGCTCTCCCACCCGCGGGTAAGAAGTTAGGGCCGGCCTTTTCCCCAACTTTCCTCCAGCCGTCATGTCCGGCCAACTTTTCCTTTCTCCGCTCTTAGATCTCTCCCTCTCGCTCTCCTCTATTCTTTTCCCATATTCCATTCTTCCCCCCCATCGGTCCGTCCTTTTGTCTTACTTTGACCTTACTACCTTCCCCTTCTCTATTAGCTGCCTTTTCATCATCCCTATTCTATCTGACCGCCACCACTTTAGTTTCCTCCCCCTTCCCTGTTTGTGTTTCGCAGTCGCCCGCTCACTGGCCCTCGCCTAATTGTTCCTGCGGTGGGGCGGCCTCCAAGGGCCAATTTATGAGGTACTACCTGCCGCCGGCAAAGGATTCATCTCTTCGGCCACCCTCTCTGGAAGATGAACATGCGTCCGGAATTACCATCTAGTGGACCGTTGGATAGACGATCATGAACAACGACACGCGCCAAGCCTCCGGGCCTGGTAGCAAGTCAAAGCGGCGATTGACTGACGTCGAGGAAAATAGCAAGCAGAGTCCTGCTGCAGATGACTTCGCCTCTAACCCCAAACGCCAACGTGTCTCCCGGGCTTGCGACAGCTGTCGCTCCAAAAAGGACAAATGCGATGGCGTGCAGCCCGTGTGCTCGACTTGCGCCTCGCTCTCGCGGCCCTGCACCTACAAGGCCAATCCTAAAAAACGAGGCCTTCCGACCGGCTATATTCGCACCCTTGAGTTACTATGGGGACTGGTCTTCAATAAGATTCAAGGCAGTGAGGAGGTGGTGCGCACCTTGTTGAAGGCGGCCAACATTCCCAGCCATCTGGCGACGATGGGCAAGGAGGCAGAAGGATCCGATACCCTGTTGTCGTCGTGGAAGAACAGCATCGTCCTGAGAGAGATCGAGCGACTGTTGACGTTTTTGGAACAACCCGAAGAGGACCAAGCAGGTCGTTTACCGGGCGAGAGTGATTCCCCGCAAGATGCTGAAGGAAGCAGCGTCTTGTCAGCGGAAGCGCTGGAGTGGAATCTTCCAGACGTGTTGGGAGAAGGGCGAGAAGGGTCGTTGGCGGTGGTATCTCCTATCAAGACCCCGTCCGCGGTATCGACAGCTAAGGCCTCTGGAGTGCGGATTACGCGGGACTCTGCGACCCAAACGGCTACAACCAACGATTTAGGGGAGGATGCATCGAGTTTGTCGCTGGGTAGGTTGGCACAGCGCCCGCCCGACCAGGCCTCGCTTCCCATCCCTATCCCCCAACTCCCCTCGAACGCTTGGCCCTTGTTAGACATCTACTTCTCCTACACACAATGCTGGTTTCCCATTCTTGAAAAACACGATATTTTGCGAACAGCGTTCCGTCATAATGAAGACGACGCTCAAATTTCCGCCATCTCACCAGGTTCTGGCGATTATGCCGCGCTGTGGGCGGTTCTGACGCTGGCCTCCATTCAGGAGGCCTCGATCTCTACTACGCGACAACTGACCGACTTTGCTGGTGATCGTCCTGATCCAGCGCAGCTGTACGCCACGGCTAGACGCCTCATACCCGAGGAAAACGGGAACCACGAGCTCGGTCACGTGCAGGCATTGCTGATTCTGTCACTGATAAAGCTAGGCCAGCAGGACTGGTCAGCAGCATGGCTACTAGTCGGACAGGCTGTTCGCATTGCTCAGAGCCTTGGATTGAATCAATCCACGGGGCAGTCGAAGAGCGCGGAGGAAGGTAAAAGTGCACCACGGTCTAAGCACGTTTTCCTGGGATGTTTCATCTTGGAGACATTGATTGCGATGCAAACGGGACAGGTGCCGTCGTTGCGCAAGGCAGAGCTCATTAAGATTGGTCCGATCAACGAAGACGGGTTGGAGGAGTGGCACCCGTGGGAGGACCAGACGGGACTGCGCCCAGTCGAGCCGTCGCGCGCTTCATTCCACCGCGGACCTCTCCACGCCTTGAGCACATTCAACCGACTCACTTCGCTGATGTGTATTCTGAACGACTTGTGCTGCTTGAAACAGACGACAACCGGCCCCATCGCACACTTGGAGGCGCTGGAGCGACAACTCCAACTCTGGGTGTCGGCGCTCCCAAAGAGCTATCGCGTTGATCTGCAGACGACACCGATCAAAGTGGCTTCCCCACACATATTTGGGCTGGAGATGATGTACGAGAGCGTCGCTACGAACCTGAGCCTGCAATTTGCGTTGCAGCGGAGCGACCGCAATATGTCAGAGATGCCGCTGAAGAAGCGTGCCACGGAGAGCTCGAAACGGTTGCTCCAGTTACTTCAGACATACATGGAGAACTACAGTCTTTCTGCTACTTGTCCTACGTTTGGTCTGGTTCTCACAAGTGGTCTGTCACCGGCCGGAGAACGAGCGGCACCGCTGCCCTTTGAACTGGACCCCGGCCTCAAAAGTAAACTTCAATCTTTTGCTGCACATTTGGCGACCGTCTGGCATATCAAGGACAGGCCTGACACGACCTTACCGGAGAAGACTCCGGACCTGCCCGCGTCGATAACACCTGCACCCGCCCGACCGAGAAGCCTATCCAACCGGGATACGGGTCCGCTTCACGCTTTCGCTCAGGCTCCGCTGGGCGCGGGCGAGCCGGCACGACGTGTGAGCATGCTGGAGGACAATCGGACCAACATAGCCACACCAGATGCCTTCTTTTCGAACGGGTGGATGCGAACACCCACGGTCGATGACAATGTGGCACTATCTATCCCCACTCCTGCCCCGTCACTGAATATCAACCAAGGCGGCGAGACCGCCCACCCTTCCTCTCAACTCAAAGAATCTGTTCCTCCTAACCATTTGTCTCACCATCCTCGCTCCTCCATCTCCTCTACGAAACCAATCAACGGTACAGGCACACCGCTGATGCCGGACCTGACCTCGCCTTTCCACACCACTGCACCACAGTACCCACCTCCATACGGTGATACCAGTCTCAATTTGGGATCATTTGCCGACATTGACGGATACGGGCCGCCGCGACGACCGCGGATTGCACCGGACTTGGACGCGTTGTTTGATGAACTGGCGTCGCTGGATGGGACTGAAAAGTGAGCTTATCACAATTTGCAAATCAATCTTTACTAACAGCTGCAGGACGGACAATCAGCCGGAGTTCATGCAGAACCTCGGGTTTGTGCCCGAGGCGGGGGTGCCGGAGCTGTACTCGTACTCGAGCCAAGTGGAGCCGTTCCTTCTGGCGCAGACGCAGCAGCAGGTACCTTGCGAGGTGGGCGGGGTCCGACGGGGGTCGCAAGCAGAGGGAAAGAGATGAGCAGTTAGACAATTGACTGCTGCTGTTCATCTCTAACCCACCGGCCTAGTTTCGGTTGACTGCAGTAAGGTATGTACAGAGTGCTATCCAATAAATCCTTGATATTAACTTCCGACGGCAGACAGGCTGCAACCACCGATCCATATTCCGCTCTACCTCTCTCTTCAAACAGCACTGAAAGAGAGAATATGGTCATTGTAGATATGATATACGGCCCAGTATCACTTCACCTGACGAAGTGACCCATCCAAAGGAATGGAAGAAGAAAAGAAAATGCTGGCTTAGTAAAGCCGCGATGAGTGACGACGACCTGAACTGTACATATATGCATATTGCACCGATAGTATACCCATATCATACCATACATAACAAGCTTTTCCTCCACCACACCCCTCATTTCTCATGAAAAAAAAAAGTAGAAGATGAAAAGATAGAATCTCTATAAAATCACAACTTTCCCCCCTCCTTCTTCAACGGTGCCCAATTCCTCGCCACATATTCAACCGCAACCCTATACCCTTGCACGCCCAAACCCACAATAATCCCACTGGCCTTATCACTGAAAAAGCTCTTATGTCTCCACTCCTCCCGCGCATGCACATTACTCACGTGCAGCTCGATGAATGGAATGGATACACCCAGCAACGCGTCCCGGATCGCGACGGAGGTGTGTGTGTATGCGCCGGGGTTGATGATGATCGCGTCGACGGAGCCCCGCGCGGCGTGGATGCGGTCGATGATGGCGCCCTCATGGTTGGACTGGAATGAGGCGAATGTGCAGGAGAGAGAGGTGGCTAGGTCGGCGCATGAAGATTCGATTTGGGAGAGGGTGGTGCTGCCGTAGATGTGGGGTTCGCGGGTGCCCAGGAGGTTGAGGTTGGGGCCGTTGATGAGGAGGATGGATTTGGGGGTGGGAGTTTGCAATTCCATTTTTGGAGATGTAGTAGTATGTATGTGAAAGCTTTGTAGTGGTAGTGTGGTGGTAGTATAAGTGGTAGATGGAGGAAGGAAGTATGGATAGAGGATGTGGTTGGTGGTAGTATGGGTAATGAATGTGTAGGTTTAAGTATTCTACTTCATATGTTATATCTATGGAGATTATCGGGGATGACTTTTACCTAGACTGTTCCCTACTTTCTTCTTACTGAGTAATGTCAGTCCTTGGATTAGGTAGGGTTAGCAGGTTGTTGTTCGCAGGTCTTGGGGTAGGCTAAGGACTTGGCCGGGGCTGAGCGCTTTCCCGGGTTGGGTGCTAGGGGCTGGTGCCGAGGTGCCGAGCGGGGTATTGGAGTGTATTTGAAGAATTGTGGGAGGTGGAGGTATAAGTATAAGAGCTGTAGGCGAGATTACACACAGTGATGGTTAACGAGTCATGAATGACTGATTAGTTATTCGGTGTAGTTCTTGTTGTTGGTCTAGTGGATATGATATCTAGCTGCATTGCAGTGGTTAGTATTGGTATCATTACATGTCACACTAGTACCTAGTACTACTTAAGCTAGGGTTTGTGTGGCAATACCGTCCTTCTTATTCGCTCTCTGGTTGAGTCCACGTGAGCGCACACGCGGTTGAGAAGTTTCCGTCTTTCCCACTAAACATCGGTGTCTGGCCAGTGCATCCCCGTGGGGAATTAGGTATTGTCATTGGCTCATCTCTGCGATCTTCGCTTCTCATCCAGTGACAGTTCCTCCGATTGCGGAGGGAGCCAGTTAACAACAGTATAGACTCACTTAGTAGACAACAATTGGCTCGCTACCTACACCCTTACTTTTGCCCCCCACAACCCGCCATGGCTCTCGTTTCCCTTCCCCTATCTGGCTCCCAAGCTTGTGTCTCCTCCCCCGTGGCGGAAAATTTGCAGTGTAGGCCAGTGCGCAATACGAGGCCTGACCGTGGCTCGTCCTCTCCCCGTGAAGTCTATCCACACCCAATCCTATCTCATCCCATTCTATCTCCCCTGCTCTCTAGAATCCTTCTGGTTGAATCCTGGTTTGCAAAGAAGAGATTGTTTTGCCGCCCTTTGTTTTACCCAACAATCGCTTGGGCGTAGTCTGATATCTGGGGTAATCCTTTGCCTCTTCCCCCAGTCTTTCTCCGCACCCCAGATTTCGATTGTCCGGGGAAGGGCTATATAACCCTGCCCTGGTGACTCCCATCTCCTAAGTCTCTATCAGACTGTTGCATACACAATCTCCCTTGTTGATCATTATTGTAACTGCACTACTACCCATCCATCATCTTCTCGTCCAGACAGACAGACATCATCATGTCTATCCTGTCGATGGTCGAGGACCGGCCTACGCCTAAGGAGGTCTACAACTGGCGTATTTACCTCCTGGCGGCCGTCGCCTCCTTCACCTCATGTATGATCGGTTACGATAGTGCTTTCATCGGCACGACCATCTCCCTCGACTCCTTCAAGAATGAGTTCCACTGGGACTCCATGACCACCGCGAAACAGGACCTGGTCAGTGCCAACATCGTCTCCTGCTACCAGGCAGGCGCCTTCTTCGGTGCTTTCTTTGCCTATCCCATCGGCCACTTCTGGGGCCGTAAGTGGGGTCTTATGGTGTCAGCCCTGATCTTCACTCTGGGGGCGGGCCTGATGCTGGGTGCCAACGGCGACCGCGGTCTGGGGTTGATCTACGGCGGTCGTGTGCTGGCTGGCTTGGGCGTTGGTGCTGGCTCCAACTTCACGCCCATCTACATCTCAGAACTGGCTCCGCCTGCCATTCGAGGCCGGCTGGTCGGTGTTTACGAGCTAGGATGGCAAGTCGGCGGTCTCGTGGGTTTCTGGATCAACGTAAGTGTCCCCTACAGCATATCTACAATCTACGATCATCGCTGACTCAAGAAGTACGGAGTGGAGCAAACCATGGCTCCCAGCCACAAGCAGTGGCTGATCCCCTTTGCCGTCCAGCTGATTCCAGCGGGCCTTCTGATTATCGGCCTTTTCTTCGTCAAAGAGTCTCCTCGTTGGCTGTTCCTGCGTGGCCGCCGCGAAGAGGCCATCAAGAACCTCTGCTGGATCCGCCAGATCCCCGCCGACCATATCTACATGATTGAGGAGATCGGGGCTATTGACCAGACCCTGGAGCAGCAGCGCTCCACGATCGGGCTTGGCTTCTGGAGGCCTCTCAAGGAAGCCTGGACGAACAAGCGTATCCTGTACCGGCTGTTCCTCGGTAGCATGCTCTTCTTCTGGCAAAACGGGTCCGGCATCAACGCCATCAACTACTACAGCCCGACCGTGTTCAAGAGCATCGGGCTGAAAGGCAACAGCTCCAGCCTTTTGACCACGGGCATCTTCGGCGTGGTCAAGACTGTAGTGACGATCATCTGGCTGCTGTACCTCATCGACCACGTTGGTCGCCGCCTGCTGCTGCTGATCGGTGCCGCTGGCGGGTCCATCTGCATGTGGATCGTGGGTGCATACATCAAAGTTGTGGACCCAACCCACAACCAGAGCGACCACCTCAACGGGGGCGGTGTAGCAGCCATCTTCTTCTTCTACCTATGGACAGCGTTCTACACGCCATCCTGGAACGGCACACCCTGGGTCATCAACTCAGAGATGTTCGATCCCAACATCCGGTCTCTGGCCCAGGCGTGCGCTGCTGGGTCCAACTGGCTCTGGAACTTCCTCATCTCGCGCTTCACGCCGCAGATGTTCGCCAAGATGGACTACGGCGTGTACTTCTTCTTCGCCAGCCTGATGCTTTTGTCGATCCCCTTCGTGTTCTTCCTCATTCCGGAGACCAAGGGTATCCCGCTGGAGAACATGGACCCGCTTTTCCAGACTCAGCCCGTGTGGCGTGCCCACGCAAAGGTGTTGGCGCAGATCCACGAAGACGAAGAGCGGTTCCGTCGTGATCTCGAGGAGTCGGGCTACACCAAGGGGGGTGTTGAGCAGGTGGAGGATACCAGCCGGAAGGAATGAGCGACTGCAGTATTCCTGGATTGCTAGTTAGATGATAGCGACCGTTAGGTCAACATGGATTTACTTACCTATACTCTGAACCTTGTATACCAATATGCCAATACCAATCGATCTTCATTCAAAGTTTAAACAAGAACAAACTCTCTCGGCATTAGCCACACCCAAGACTCAACCAACTCAAAACCATATAAAAGGCACAAGTGTGAAGAAGTAAGTAGGGATGGATAAAGGTTAAATAAAACCATCCCTCTCCTCTTTTGCCGCTCCGGGGTCATCCGCGGGTTAAAAGAAACGGGGAAGGCACAACACTCGAACAACATCGGCCCACACCCGTCCCACAGACCACACAGTCTTTGCCGGGGATACATTACCCCCGGATAAACGCAACGCGGGTAAAGCGCTTTGCCGCGGGCGGGCGGGCGGACAATTTCCCCAATTTTCCTTTCTTCCCCCCCTCCTCTTGCATTGGGGAACACCAATCAACCCTAAGTAGATGGGTTAAAGTATGTTGCCTGTTCCTGGTCCTGTTTGAGAGAGAAGAAAAGTACGCTTTTTGTTTTTCGACAGATCACAAATTATTGTTTTCAGTTCTGGATTGCATTTCCTTTTTGCTTCTTTTGCGGCTTGCACAGCATCTAGATAGGATCATCCGATAAGGTTTGTGCAATCCACTAGTTGACGCGGCTTAATCACATTGATTGATTGATGAACTAGCTGTACTTTTTTCGCATTCCTTATCTTGCTTGCAAGGACTGGACTGGGTTGTTCTCTATAAGAGCATCATTATCACCCCACCCACAACACACACAACACAACCCTCTCTAAAGATACCAAAGAAGAAAAATACAACAAAATGCCCAACCGTCTTGGCATAGCCTCCATGTCCCTGGGCCGTCCAGGCATCCACTCCCTCCCCTGGAAACTTCACGAAGCCGCCCGCCACGGCTACAGCGGGATCGAGCTCTTCTTTGACGACCTGGACCACTACGCAAACACCCACTTCAACGGCAGCCATGTCGCGGCCGCTCACGCCGTGCACGCTCTCTGCACGACCCTCAACCTCACCATCATCTGCCTGCAACCCTTCTCCTTCTTCGAGGGTCTCGTCGACCGCAAGCAAACCGAGTACCTGTTGACTGTGAAGCTGCCCACATGGTTCCAACTCGCCCGCATCCTCGACACCGACATGATCCAGGTGCCCTCGAACTTTGCGCCCGCCCAGCAAACCACGGGTGACCGGGACGTGATCGTTGGCGACCTCCAGCGCCTCGCAGATATTGGTTTGGCACAGTCCCCGCCGTTCCGCTTCGTATACGAGGCACTGGCCTGGGGCACGCGGGTTAACCTGTGGGACGAGGCGTACGAGATTGTCGAGGCGGTGGACCGTCCTAACTTCGGTATCTGTCTTGATACGTTTAACCTTGCGGGCAGGGTATACGCACACCCAGGCCGGAAGGACGGAAAGACAGTCAACGCGGAAGCAGATCTAGCTGCGTCGTTGAAGAAGTTGCGCGAGACGGTGGATGTCAAGAAGGTGTTTTACGTGCAGGTAGTTGATGGAGAGAGGCTGGATAGGCCGTTGGATGAGACGCATCCGTTCCATGTGGAGGGGCAGCCGGTGCGGATGAACTGGAGTCGCAATGCGAGGTTGTTCGCGTTTGAGGAGGATCGCGGTGGGTATTTGCCCATTGAGGAGACCGCGAGAGCGTTCTTTGATACTGGATTTGAGGGGTGGGTGTCGCTGGAGTTGTTTAGTCGGACGTTGGCGGAGAAGGGGACGGGGGTTGTCACGGAGCATGCGAGACGTGGGCTGGAGTCGTGGAAGGAGTTGTGTCGGAGGTTGGAGTTTAAGGGGGCGGAGCCGGGACTGGACTTTGTTCCTGGGGAGGTGAAGGTGCAGTCTGTTGCTGTGGGGAGTGCGAAGGCGAAGGTCGAGGAGGAGATCGGGGCTGTGCAGCATCGGTTGTAGATGCTACACTACTGTGTATATGTGCTCATGGTTTGTATATATGATGTTACTATTTCGGGTTGGTTTGGCATGTTTTGTTATAGATACAAGGGATAGATTATATGATTGATTTACGTACCATATTCAAGGTGCTATTGTGGTGTGTGCTGTTAGTTGAATTAGTAAATGGCAACTGCAGCTACACTTTTAGAACAATCTGCAAAACTTAGGGTCCGGTAGTTACCAATATTGATATCAAGAGTTAAGTACTTCCTATGTAAAGAACAATCACACAGCTGACACCTTCTCAGGCGCACGATCAAGATCGAGAGCGCCATTCCTGAAAGGTGTCCCAAGATACCGCTCATAAATCTTCCAGCCGTTGGATGTCATTCGGAGCCGATCAATGTTGGTTCCAATCCACCATATGGCTGGCAATCCGTTCTCTCTGACCACATCCTTTCGAGTGAATCCAGCCGTGTCATCACCCGGCCAACCATAACGGACAAGGGTCTCTTGATACCGCACGATCACACCTCCATCTTCATCACGATCAACAATGTGGTTTGTGGCACTGCGGGAGAATTCCCAGAATAAAAAATCCGTAGATCTTCTCGAAGAATTCCTTCATCTGCTTGTGTTCACTGATGGTACCATGACTATGGTAAACGGTAGCATTTGGGAGGAAGGTGTCAATCATTTTGGCATGGTCGAATTCTTCGAATACAAAGTTGTGACGGTTGACGAAGTCGATGGCGCTTGAGCGTTCTTCAGAGGTTACATCGTTTAGGGTAGAGCCGTTAACAGGAGGGTACCGCCCATTGACTATCATTGAAGACATTCTGGACAAAATGAACTGAAGAGTATGGATTGGTAATTTGCAATTTCAATTAAAGGTGAATGAATACTAGATGGATTTCGTTGTCGCTTTATATCCAAGAGATAATTCATGACGTCTATGTAGTAGCCTTTCGGACGTGCCGGCATGCCACAGTTAATCAACTTAAATGATGATCATTAATCATTATTTGCAGGAACCGAGGATCACTAATCACTCCGACAATGGCTGGGCAGGTTGCAGTCTCTTTATTCGCAAGGAGAATTCAAGATTGGAGATTGATAGTAAAACCTTGAGGTCTCTAGTACTAGTAGGGCCTGGCTGGGGTTGTCGCGAGGGTCCTAAGGCATTAACTTATGCCTGAGGCAGAAATTCAGACGAATGGCATCAGTCCTATCACAGACCACCGGATTAGTCTGTCTGGATTGCTACGGACCATATTTAGCAATTCTGTAGCAAATGTAAGAGATAATACCTCCCCTCCCGGATCTGCATATATGCTGTCTCAATATGCACTGTCCTTCATCCACTCACGTTCCACTTTCTTTCCTATCACGGGAAGTGAGGTGTATTAGGTAGCTACAGGCGTCAAAATAAGGTCGACATGTCTCTAATTATAACCCAGCTATAGCTCTACTCGCCTATAACAGATTGGTCTATTTGCTGAAGGAAGAAGGCCGAGCAACTCAAAAGCTTGAACTCCGGGAGCACAAACTGGACATATGCTTCAAGCACAAGAAGTATATATTCAAACGATGACTAGTCAACGTCAATTGTAGTAGGACAACCCGCCAGCAACGCACAACTAAGCACTGTCAAACTCAAACTTCTCCCCACCTCCCATTACCAACACCTGGCTTGTGGAAGAATTGCGCTTCCTCTGCCCGATCTGCTTGAGCAGGTCGGGATCGGCACGGCACCGGAGACGGGAAGGAAGCCAAGAAGAGACAAGCAATTTCCAAGCGCTGGGCAAGGCTTACGCCCAGGGAAACATGGAGCATGAGCTCCTGGGGGACCTCTTATAATCTTACTCATTTGCCAATTCCTGGTAACAATGAGGATTTTGCAGCATGTCATGACGAGTTGGCACATCGGCCCGACCCGACCCCGCGCCGAATAGGGCTACGGAGTTTAGCCACGGATTTTACCTCCTCGACCGAAGGCGACTCGGTCCTCATTTTCGGTCTCCGGACTCTTTGCTCATCATTTTCAGCCTTGTCAGAGTCTCCGTCAGTAGTCCTGTTAGAAAATATGGTATATAAGCCCCTCCCACAATCACAAGTGCTATACTCCAAGCCAAGTTCAAGAAAGCCCAAACAAAGTGAAACAGGATCATAAGACACTTAACTTAACCTTCCTACCAAAATTATCCTCCATCCTAAACCATGTCCTTCTTCCCAACCACCCTCCCCGCCCTCCCCCTCCGCGAGGCAATCGTAGACCCGGTCTACCGCGCCGTCCTCTCCTTCGACGGCAACGACCTCCCGCTCTTCGAGTCCGCCTTCTTCGAGGATGCCGCTTTCGACTTCAACGGCAGCGTGATGGAGGGCCGCGCGGCCATCAAGTCTGGCAGCTGGGATAACGTCTCTAAGCTGGACACCACCCACTTCCTTAGCAACGTGCGCATCAACCTTCCCTCTGAGGACAGCACGACCGCGACAGTGTCCGCTTCGGCATTGGCCCAGCACTTTCGCACAGGCCAGGGGAACCAGCCCGACACTACCCGGCTGACGAGCGGGGCGCTTTACTCGATCGATGTGGCCAAGGACCCCGCGGATGTGAATGGGCTGTGGAAGGTCAAGCTGTGGAGGATGAAACTGGTGTGGACGGAGGGGGATTGGGGGGTGATGACGGGGAACTAGACTGGCGATGTCTGTTTTCATTCGGAAAGCAAGGATGAGTGGATGGCTGTAGGGTCGATTATGATGAATATGAACTCCACATGTGCGGCCCCTTAGTATATAGATTGGTATGCTTCATATATTTTGGCATTCAGTTAACCACAGGACGCTGTATTTAATAATAAGCGTCTAATTTCATCTTGCATGTTGATTATACTGTGAACATATGCCTTCGTCTACTGTTGGCTTTTGAGTTACTTGGTAGTTCAGATAGAGACTCATAAGTTGGCATGTCGACAGTGTAGTTGACCAGATTTGCTGAACCATTCATCTGTACGGTGCAGTTGATACATCCTCTTAGGACTTCTTTGTGATACCAGTTTGTTGCTATATGCATCAGTTGAAAGGTTACATATCTCACCATTTCGCTTTATGAATGTTAAACCTGGGCTGGTCTGTACATTATGCTAGTGCTGAGAGATAGAGATGCCCATAGAAATCATAGTTCATAAGTTTGACTGATTCGACATATGCCTTTGTAAAAGACATTTTTTAAGAGGCATCTATACAGCCTATACTTTGAGTCCTACTCGGTTTATCAGAACCTCTTCAAACAGAGCATCACCTATAAATAAAATAGACGAGTTTCAGGCCTCTGATGCAGTAATACACGGTATCATCTAAAAAGATAGTAGGTTGGACAAGTATAGATCTTTGTTGTTATAGTATTGTTGATATTAGCAAAGGACTTTGGTAAGTAGTCCGATTAACACTAAATATACTTGAAAGTATGTCTATGTTTAGTTTAGGGTCATACGAGAATTGATCATTACACTGGGGCCTGTTGTTCTTAGAAGACTATGAGAATGACAGACACGCCGGCAAACTAAGATGAAATGCATGACTTAGTCTCGTACAATTCAGAAGGGTTACATAAACCAAATGCGTAAGCTCAAACGAGCGCTCAGGATTACAATCACTTTCTCTAGAGACGATTCCCGGAACAATTTGGGACCGATCAGGGATTAAGCGAACCTGAATCAGGACAAGAGGGTCATTTGCTTTCGCCAGGAATCTATAGTTTGATAAAGTGAGGCAGATCATGACTAATCATCACATGACAGTGCTAGCCGGTGGGTGGGTCACTGGATCTCAGCTCTTCATACTTCCACCATCCACTAGTCCCATCTAGTTTGCTTCTCTCCTCACTATCGATCCCAGTTTCCAGGATCCGGGAATGCTCCGCTGCACCTTCAGTCACAAATCCTCCTAGCGGCTATGGTCCAAGCTCAGGCTCCCGGAAAGTCGGTCCGCTTGGCTACCGCATGCACCGAGTGTCAGCGTCGGAAGCAAAAGGCAAGCATCCGAACCTATCATGAATTTCAATCAGCTTAAGTACATCTGCTAACACCACGGTATATAGTGTAGCCGGGAATGGCCCTGTAATCACTGCCAAGCACGAAGGATTGCCCATCTCTGTAAATTCACACCGAAGAAGGTGCTCAAGGCTAAGCCTGTCTGTAATGATTCAAGGTCCGCTCAAGTAATGCCTCAATTGTCCTATACCATTATTGACGCTCGCAGGGCGATAGATGTGTCTGCGAGAGGCGATGGACAAAGCCCGACGGAAGCTCGTGGCTCAGTCGTGTCGGGCATCGCCACCGAGGATGATTTCCGCATGCTGGGATACCTCCCCGATAACGACGATCAACATGCAAGTGGCGCTGAGCAATATGTAAGACTGCAAGGTCGGCCTATAATTGACCATGCATATGCTAAGTACTTTGTGCTACAGCAATCAGCCGCATTATCGCCCTCACAAAGACTCGTATCGCCCGAACTGGAAAAAGCAATTCGCACTATTCCCCCCAAACCTTATACAGGTAAATGTGGCGACGGCTCTTCGTGATAGCCTGCTTACCTGTACGACTCGTGCTAGATATCCTGGTGCAGTACTTCCTGAGTGAGATGAATGACCAGTACTATTGCCTCTACCCACCGACTTTTTCGCACGACTATGCGACGTGGTGGTCAGGCAAAGTCAATGGCCAGTCATTGACGCCCGCCTTTACAGCCTTGCTGCTGCATGTTTGCGCATGCGCAATTCTCTACCTGGATGTCGAGACACGGCAGCAACTGGAGACTGATCTGGGCGAAAATTGTACCAGTCTGTCCGAACAATACCATAGTACTGCCAAGCAGCTCAGCAATACCATTGGTCCAGGCAAAGGTGGATTGACGCAAGTACAACAACTCTTCCTTGGGGCAATATGGTACAAAACTGAAGCATTATTTGTTGAATCATGGCATGCTCTGGGAGCTGCAATCCACGAGGCCCAAGAACTAGGTCAGTGCCCTATATATCCAGCCAGTCGGATACTGATCCGGAGTAGGAATGCATCGTAGTTCCTCTAAAGCAAAGGTATCTGAATTCGAACGGGAAATGAGAAGACGGATATGGTGTCTTCTCTACACCTGGGACTGGTAAGTCCTTATCCCTTCTGCAATACCTTACACTAACGCTTCAGGCAAATGTCACTCCTCTTATCACGCCCATTTATCATCAACAGCAGCTGCTGTTCCTTCGAACTACCCAGTTTACGACTCGAGACCCCCAACACAGAAACAAACACCCCCTCCGCAATAACATCCATATCCCTCCAATGCCAACTAGGACAAAGAATTTCCAAAATCCCCGGAGTAATGAGCGGCATCCTATCTCCCAACCAAGCCACCGCCATCCATCAAGAAGTCACCCGATGGACCGACACCTTCCCCCCAATCTTCCACCTCCCAAACCCTGACACCACCCACGACCACACCCACACCTACATACCCATGCAACGCCAACAACTCCACGCCCTGGCCCACATGGTCACCTTCATGCCACTCAAACCCTGCCTCACCATCGACCCCACCACCAAAAGCACACCCACCCTCGAAAAGTCCCTCCAACCAACCGCAATATCCTGCGCCCTGGACCTAATGCTCTCGGCTCAGCAACTCCTATCACATCTCCTCCCTGCAAACGGCAAATTCCACTTCGCGCCATTTCTAATGTTCGACACGGCTGCGTATCTCTGCTCTGCACTGATCCATGATAAACATCGGGACCTTCCTCAGCGGGAGAAGGTACTCGAGTGCATATCTCTGGCACTGAGTACATTGAAAGATGTCGCCAAAACGGCCAAAACAGGCGCTACTTGCTATGCTGTTCTTGCGAAGATAGTTGGTAGTATCTCTCTTTCTGCCGAGGAGAGGGAAGTGGTCTGGTCGAAGAGGTCTCCTGCTATAACGTCTACCACTAATAGTACTGATTATGCGGGATGTTCTTCGTCTGAAGATACAATTACGAGTGGACAGGACAATGGTTCAGTCTCACCATTGCTGGAAAAGCATGGCCGCTCAGACAATACACCTATTCATATGCACGCGTACTCGAGCGGACTAGGACTAGATGGTATTCCTAGCACGGGCCTAGACCTGGACCTGGATTTGAGTGATTTGAATCAGATCTGGGGTTGGGATAATCTTGGTTTAGATTTGGACATACCCGGTAGTCAATGATGAAGTCCTTATGTCTATAATATATGGCAATTACTATAATCAAAGTATCAGCCGTTACAGATAGAATTTTTATTAGTCGTAAACAACAACAATACCTCTCTACGACCATGCTTGGTGCATCATATTGAAAATAGTTCTTCATGTACATACATACATACATAAACTATAACATAGCCATCATATACATCCAATCATTAACCATTCAATCCAGAAGTCCCAACGCCATTTCGCCACATATTTACCGATTAATCATGTAACCCCATCCATCCATCAGCCAAAATCAACCTACTCATCCTCTTTCTCCTCCCCATCATCGATGATCATCTCTACCTCCTTAACCGGATGCAACAGCATCGGCGGCAAACACATCCTTCCCTCACCCGCCAACTCGGCCTGCTCACCCCCCTCATTATCAACCTTATATCCCAGCCAACGTTTCCATAGATTCGGCGCGAACCCAGCAGAGTAAAACCACGTCGAGCCGCGGAAGTTATGCTCCCTATCGCCGAAGACTGACGTGCGAGCACCACCAGACGCACCGTTCCGGCCAGCGTTGAATACCGATTCGAGGTACTGAGTCGGCCAGCGGCGGTCAATGTACACCGAGTGGGGCACATAGACGGCCTTGAATCCGTGATGGAGAGCTGTCGTGGCGGGCCACATTTCGGAGAACATAGTGTGGCGCTTGTGGATCGTTTCAAGGTGCATGGTTTGGAGGAGTTTGTTGGAGAGACGGGAGGCGGTGATGATGGAGGCACGGCGGGGAGGAAGAGGGCCGGTGGAGTGGTCGTAGCCGGTGACGTCGTCGCGGAGGGGCCAGGTTGTGCCTTCGGGGTCGAAGAGGGGGTTGAAGACGATGAGGTCGGCTTCTTCGTCGACGCCCCATTCGTAGCGGTCTTTGTCGATTGTGGTGGGTGGGATGCCTTCCGATGGGACTTCGAGGATGTCGGGTTCGTTAGGCCGTTCCGGACCCCAAATTGGCTTGTCGCCTTGTTGTTGCTGTTGCGCTTTCAGGGACTCGGGGGTGCGGTCTTGACCGGGTCGCGAGGCGCCGGCGGCACTCCAGAGGTTGTTGGGGCTGTTGGTGCCGATGTCGGTCTGCACGCGGACCATCTGCCGGAAGTCTTCCCAGGTACCGTGCACTGAGGGGACGTAGAATCGAGCGTTTCGCTCCCAAAGACCCTTGCGTGGTTGGGCTCGAGCCCAATTGATAACTTTGTCGAAGAGGTGGTACCAATGGCCGGTGTACCGGGCGTCCATTTCCCAGTTCCAGTAGTAGTCGTATCCCGGGTGCTGATGGGCAAAGTATTGCATGGGCATGTAGGTGCTGCGGTATACGCCGTGCACGGATAGCCCGCGGGCCCAGGTCTCTTCTAGACCGGGATACATGAGATTCATTTGCCGCTCGGACCAGAGAGTAGCCATGCCGCGGAATTCGGCTGGCAGGGCCTCGTTTAGCACGCGCTCGTAGACCTCATCGTCAGCCCAGATTTGGAGGGTTTCGTCCCGGACCTGGACCAGGAAATGAATGGTGTATTCGCCACCGGAGAGAAGTGATAGCTCGGAAATGAGGGAACGTAGATACAGGATGTCATCCGGGGTGTAGTGGAAATCATGCCACGTGCGGATCACGAATGCGGTCCGAGGTAGATAGGACTTTCCATCAGACTGTGCCTCGTCCTGGGGCGCTTGCTTGGTGTCTGGTGGTGCACCCACGGTCATAGTACGGAAGCGGTCGGATTGTGAAGCAGGAAGATCGCGGAATCGGTGGCTGTTCGAAGCCAAGCATCGATTCTGCGCAGCTGCCCAGTCGACACGACGAAAGTCAACTGGCGGAACGTCGTTCCAGACACGCTCCGCACCTTCACGATCGCCTTCGAGGCCTGCACCGATACCACCCTTTCGCACACTGTAGCCTAGACCGTAAGGGCCGAGACGCCCAAAACGGTCAAAGCAAACGTCGTCTTGAATACCGATCATCTCGTTGGAGCCCAGGATTACATCTGGAAACCCACGAGGCACACCGGGATAGTGTTGTACCAGAGGGATCCGTAGGTTCTCCTCCTCATCAAGGAAGCAATCACGCTTCTCACCGTACTTTTCGACGTATTCCGTAGACGAGTAGTCGGGATAAGGATTGAAGATAGAGCTCGACAATGGCAATGTCTGGTCCCGGGCTTGAATGATGGTATCATTTGCATCTTCCGCGCTTTCAACGCCCAAGATGTCCGGATTATCGTTGGGATACTCTGGCACCTGTTCGCTTCGCGATACCAAGGACCGGATGCCGCCATGGTAGCGTTTTAATAAAGGGAAATTCTCCCACTGTGCCGGTTTTGCAGCAGGCTTCGGCAATGGAACATTGACGCGAGTGACAGCTGAAAGGAAGGTAAAGCGAAACAAGGTGCAGATAAACAGAACCAAGAAGGCCAGTAGCGCGAGACAAAGCCATCTCATGATCCGATTAGGTATGCGATAGCCCGGCCTGCTGCGAGAACGTCGTACGGGCGCCACGGGCGCTCTGTTCAGCATGGGGCGATACGAAGCCACCGAGGAGGAGTATTCCGAGTCATCTTCAATGTCTGAATCATACGAACTGTAGCTATCGCGACGGTAGTGGCGCCTCGGCCTCGATGGTTGCTTCTCAATGTCGACGACATCGCGACTGTCGCTCGAATAGGGCGACGATGCATTGACCTGATACCTCTTCGAACGGGCAGGCATGGCGGGGATCTATGTTCGCATAGAAGGTATGTATTGGTGGCGACGTCAGAGGTATGCGAGTGGATCAGGCGATCAATAGTACGGCATCAAGTTCGGGGGAAAAAAAGAATGCTCGGCAGTCGATTTTGTTTCTAAATCAGCGCTCAATTGCTGCGGTGAGTGTAGACTCAGCGTGACTGCTCCCCAGAATGGGCGTGCGACTGTTACGCACGTCTGCGACGGACTGCTAGTTAGAATGGTATACCACTACTATAATAGCAGTGAATACAAACAAAGCAGTACCAGCCACAGAAACCCCAGAGTGACCACGGATCAAGGCCAGTGGATCTCAAACAAGTCAATAGGTGACGATGGCGAGAACAACCCCGTATCAATCTCGATATCAACAAAACAGTGAGCTACCGGCAGGTAACGACATAGCGAGCTGTTTGGTAGATCGGCCAGGAAGCGTTGCCCAAGGGACGGCCGTGCTGATGCACTAGCCCGGCAGGAGGGCTTGGCGCAAGACATTGAGGCTGTCTTGAGTCGGTAAGGTGCCATGAATGGCTGAGAGAGATGGGATTGATGATGTTGTTGACAGTGTATATGCACTCTCAAGATTAGCCATAATGAAGTGGTTGTTTTTAAATGATCCGGAAATACAAAGAAAGTCCCTTTTGGGATGGAATGTCTCGTGCTGTCCACATGCGGTTAGAGGCATTCACGATCATGGACTAGTCCAGTATGGGCATGTTGTCGCCTGAGGTATCAGTGTGACTGATCAGGCCAGAAGAAGCAACCACCAAAACTGAAAGACAAGGAAAGAACAACAGGAAGTACAACGACCAGGCAGAATACACACACAAGAAACATCCTCCCTCATGCCTTCGCCATTGATCTGCAAGGCGCATCTGCACTATCTTCTTGATCCGACGCTGGCCGCCTCACCTATACTATACTCGACTTCTAGGCGTGACCATCGTCTACAAATCCTCGGCAACGGCGGTAGGATCACTCTTCAGTTGTCAATTGACCCAATATAACTGACAACACAGTCGTAAACTTCCAACAGAATCGATCCGAGCCTCTTCCATGAGAAAGAAAAGCAAGCATCGAGTCCAGCGTGACCCTACCCACGGGCCCACAGTTACCCCAGCTTTCTCTCCACACGCCCAGACACCAACTCACATTCCACCGCCAGCCACGAAAGCCTAACAAAGACCAGACCTGAACCCATTGTGCAAGAATGTGCCGGATTGGGAGCACCGCCTCGTGAGAGAGCTCTCAGAAGGGATAGGAAAAGTCACCCGCTGACTGGGTCGGCATGCCGTTGCTGACCGAATAGATGCTGCGGAAACTAACTCGCTAGTTGATATTTGCTTTGCTTTTAGTTCCCGAGACCACCTCCATTGGAATGGCTGTCGTCATACATCACAGTGACGACGATCCGTCTCGTGTTTCCAAGATCTCATGATGGCCACACCTTTTTTTTTATCGCACACTGAATTATGACAGTGAGAGTTGCTATTACCCTATAAACGGAGATCAACCTTCTTTGTCGCCTAGACAGCTTTCGCCTCGCGGTACTTGCGGTGTGTGATGCAACGGTGATGATTGGCCCACCTGCCCATGCACGCTGCAACAAGCAGGTTCAGGTTCTTGATCAGGAGGTCTCGATGCCCCGACGGATAACACTGATTGCTTCCCCGGCCATTCAATACCAACTGGGTCAGTCCAGTATCGTGGCACCTGCGGTCTTGATGCCGATGACTAACTATAAAACTAGAGAGTGAATCACATACTCCCGGAGGTATGCAGCTCTCCCGACTCGAAGTCAATTGAGATAGAATCTATACCACTCATCCATACCCTTCCTCCCAGCCAAGCAGCGCCAGTCTTCACTACATAAGGCAGGGTGAATAACGAAGTGACGACAATGGTCCGTACCTCCTCGTTACCACCCAGAACAACTCAGTAACACCAAACAGGAACACCCGACAACCAACCACACCTACAGTCCACCCCTGGACAGCATATTCCTCCTCCTACCAATCCTCCTCGTACCAACCATCTTCCTCCTCCACCGTATCCACAAAGACTACCAAGCCTTCCTCGCCCTCGGCCCCGGCGGCACTCCCTCCACCCCAACAGGCTACCTCCGCATCTGCCTCCTCCGACTCTTCACAATCCGGGATCCCTTCCAACCGCCCTCCCTCCCACCAACCCTCCTCCCCAAGACCGGCCTCCTAAACTCCAACAATCTCCCGCAACGCCATGGCCCACGCCCCACCGTCGCCGGAATCGCTCCCCAGCGCCAAATGACCCAAAAGGCCAATCCAGCCATGTACGAAACCCTCTCAACCGAGATCCAGAAACTCGTATCCCAAAACCCAGAAGCCCTCTACGAAGGGACCTCATGCTTCGAGAAACACAGCACGGGCATGTTCTGCTCCAGCACCGACACACCCCAGCAACAAAGCGCAGGCACGCTCAAAGACCGCGACATCTCCTCACTAATGATGTCCCGCAACCAACAATGGCGTCACCGCCGCACCTGCAACGGGGAAGTATGTCACGCGCACCCCAGCGACGGAAGTCTTCATTTGACGCTGCATCCGGCGGACGTGAAAGCAGTGATCGAGCGGGGCTGGGGCCAGCGACATCCATTAACGCGGGAGAGCTGGTGGTGGTGTTATTTGAGGACCGTGCCGACGGGGTTCGTCATGATCTATGCGCCGAGGGATCAAAAGGAGTTGGAATGTGTCTTGAAGATTATTCGTGCTGCGGCGTGGTGGGTGAGTGGGGAGGAACTGGTACAGCAGAAGACGCAGAAGTGGGAGGGAGCACCTCTTCGTCGTCAAATTGTGGAGGGATGTAGGTGAGGTGAAGTTAATGATCATATATGTATACACTGTATATACATGGTAGTATAGTATATCAGTTCACATATATATAGTAGTAGAGCAAACAGGATAGTATTGGATAATTGGCTTTGGGGATGTGGGACATGGGATGTGGTAATGGGACGTTCGTTCAAGGTATCGACACATGGGGAAAACGGAGGAACCTGAAAGATGGATAGACTGCACTCGATAATACTAGCTATAGTCATAGTCATAGTCATAGTCATGTTATATTTATAAAATGTTATCACAACTCACTAAAAGTAGAATAAAAAACCGGCCACTACATGCACTCGTTCTACATTCTCATTCTCATTCTCGGGGCCAAATGCATCAAAGCCCAATCCATGGATATACTGCCTTTCCTTTTTCCATTTTTGTCCCTTGTTCCCGTTCCCTCCCTTACTCTGCTTCGAGCACGAGGTGGAGTCGAGTCGAGTCGAGAAAGGGAAGGAAGGAAACGGCATGCGGTTGAGAAGCACAAAGGCAGAGAAGAAGTCGTAAAAAAAGAATCGGACGGCGCCAGGGTGACAAAAGAAATGATAGAAAAAAAAGTAAAAGCTAATAGCATAGAGGAATGAAGAGCCGTTAGAGAACATACAAGAACCACCAAGTTTAGCAAGCATAATCCTTTTCCCCTACACGAGGTGACTTTGCCGGCCCCGGTTCCCCATCCAGCATCCGCAACTCCCAGGTTCACAAACTTCCAGGTATTCTTCCACTCATTAGATGATCAGTTTAGTCGCGGTTCGTTTTCCGCAGCGTCTCAGCAAGCCACTCCAGACCCTCGTACAGACCGTCACCAGTCGTGGCGCAGGTGGATTGGATGTACTAGAAAAGGGAAGCAAGCGCGTTAGTTGGGTGGATACTCGGGAATCGACACCTTAGGTGTCGATATGCGAGGGGCATATAACTTACCCAGGGGCGGCGGGTGAGGCTCTGCAGACCAAGCTGCTGAGTGATCTCGGCAGGGCTCATGGCGTTCTAAAGGGAGGAAGAAAATCAAAAGTTAATATCCATTGTTTCGGCCTTCACGTTGTTGCGATGGGAATAGATTTCAAGCATACCGGCAAATCTTGCTTGTTGGCGAACACCAGGAGAAGGGCATCACGGAGTTCATCCTCGTTCAACATGCGCTGCAACTCCTCACGGGCCTCGACGATACGGTCACGGTCATTGCTGTCGACAACGAAAATGATACCCTGAGTGTTCTGGAAGTAGTGTCTCCAGAGAGGACGGATCTTGTCCTGACCACCGACGTCCCAGACGGTGAACTGAATGTTCTTGTATTCGACGGTCTCGACGTTGAAACCTGCACGGCACAAAATAACACTAGTCAGTCTTGTCGTTTTTCCAGCGTGGATTGAATTGCATTTCCAAGCATAGTATTGTTCCGTTCGGCGCTGAGCCAAGCCCAACTACTGATCGATGCCAAGTTCTGCTTTGTCTGGGCGGAGAAAAGGGAGAAATAGGTGGACTGACCAATCGTGGGGATGGTGGTGACGATTTCACCCAGCTTGAGCTTATACAGGATGGTGGTTTTACCGGCGGCATCGAGACCGACCATCAGAATACGCATCTCCTTGCGGCCCCATAGCCGGTCGAACAACTTGGAGAAAGTGAGACCCATGACGACGGTTGCGTGAGATTCAAAGGTCTAGAGATGAGGATGCGATGTTAGAATCAATCTGACCAAGAGAGTCCAGGGTGTGCGAGATCCACACCGCACGGTCGGGGAGAGAGGGAGAAGAGTGAGGGAATGAGAGAGAGGGTCAAGCGATAGAACACAGACCTAGTGACGTCGGGCAGAGGAGGGGGAAGGTATAGTATAAGGGCAAAAGGGCAAGTGGTATGACGGATGGAATGGAGTGGTGGACGAGGGGCGAAGGTAATCAGGTTAAGGTAGTCACGCCGGGGAAACACGGCGGGCAGGACAAATCAGGGGGAGAAAGCGGTGGCCGTTAAGGAAAGGAGAGGAAGGGAATAGAGGTGTGTGATCGGGTGACAAAAACTGGAGAGGAACCAGCCGGGGGGAGGGGGGGAGAAAGTAGAGGGAGAGGGAGAGAGGAAGGGGAATATAGCAAGACTTACCAGGTTGCGGTTGAAGCTGGAGAAGGAGAGAGGGAGGGAGAAAGAGGGAGAGTTGGAAGACGTGGATACGACACAAGACAGTTAGAGACAAGCTGGAGATAGTGAGTGATCAGTCAGTCAGTCTCAGTCAGAGTCCGTCAGTTCTGTTAGTTTCAGTCAGGTCGGTCAGGTTCAGGTCTTTTTTCCCTTGCCGTACGCCAGAAAGACGGTTTTTTTGACGAGGTGGTGGGATCTTTGGGTCGAGAAATTCAGCCGCTCGGCGTAGCTTCCGTCACTAACGAAACCAGCTGGTCAAAAATACCAAACTATGTATTCTATTCTCAGTTACCAGGATGTCTTTTACGCAACAAACAGACACAATGCTTGCAATTGAAGACAGAAAGTGTATATAGATTGAATCTAGGATAGTAATAGAGTTTACCACTATTATTGAATACCATCTAGCAGACACAGGCCGTCTAGACGAGGCTCTCGTGGTGTCCTCCTGCTCAAGAATGCGGCTCCTGAAAGGAAAAGAAGAGGACACGGTGTTTCCCGTCAATGGATTCCCGGTTGATACCAATTCAGCAGCATCCCTGTTGCTGCCTCGAGATCGGCTTACCCACGAAACAAGTCCGTACCGTTTTTACGCCAAATGGAACGGGCTTCATCGTTGCCTATCCTCATGTCGCCCAAAACGGTCTAATGCTGCTACCCGTTCACAGCCTCTTTGCTTTGCCCAGCATACTCTCTTGCCTAGTATCTATCTGTCTCCTTCCTTTGCCCCCCTGGGCCCCTCTTGGTCCCGAGAAAAGGTCCAGACACCCGGATCGGTGCCCACTCGGACACCTGATAGGTTCCCGAACAAGGCTTTCTGGGTACCCCGTCCCAGTGGATCGCCTTCGGTGGCACTACTATGGGGTGCAAAGTCAAGAAGGGTATCGATGGATGTCTTGTGCTCACGCCTGTCGCTCAATTGTTACTTGAACATTGGGAAATTGATGAGGATGATTTCAGGGTAAATCCCGTAATTTGGTGGCCATCGCACTAATCACTCTCCTGGTTAGATTGACGAATCGTCTCACGCGCATAAAGTACGCCGTTGCGTTAAACACTTGGGTTTGTGCAAGCCCTCGGAACCCACAGGGGCCACTTTCAGCTCACTACGCGTCTTGCTATTATTCATCCCTCGTGCCAGATAAGCAAGCGATCCTCATAGCGACGGGCCACTGCCGCATCATCCCCGTGACTTCTAGAGGCGTGGCATTTGCAATTCCCCGTATCGGATTTCCATCATTGTTCGAGGCCATGCCGTCATGGCTCGTGCTACTGGTGTGGGCCTCAGGAGAATAATTGCGAGAGCATGTGGTAGGGTCTCGATGGACCCTGATTTGGATGGGGCGAATGCACCCGATAGGTAACATCGTCCGGCCAAACAGATCACATAGCAGTGGCTTGTCATGAGCCATTATAAACGTGCACTGCGGAATAAAGTAGCAGTGGAGTAGACATGTGACTGGTCTCGTATCTAGATCTATAGCATCGGATTCGCTTGTATGGTGCTTGTGAGTCGTAATGTTCATTCGTGTGCAGGGCTGTGCCATGTACAAGAAGCTCTATATATTCCGAAGGCTGGGTATCTCTTATCGCAACAGAACTCGACGCGTCAAGATCGATGGCTTGCGCCGCCCGATGTCTCGTTTCTACGGTAGGAGACCCGGTCCCTCGACATGCGGAAGAAACTTCGGGACAACGATTGGTAGATCGTCTTGCCTTCCACAGTGTCGCTGGCATATCCAAAAATCCAGAGCAGGACCATCGACAGGAACAAGATCACGGCAAAGCTGACCCAGTACTGATTGATCGTATATTCGCCCTTGACGTTGCGAAGCTCGGTGGAGAAGTAACCAGTCATTAGACTGACTGGTAAGAACAGAATGGTCACTTTGGCGAGTAGAATTGTGATTCGCGTCAGTTTCTCAACGGCTTGCGAATCCTTGAGGGCAATTAAGTTGAAGTTCTATCAATCGGTCAGTATATTCCTTCTGTTTCGGGATGGGCAACCTACAAGGAATGTGAGGTTTTCCTTCTCTGTCAGACAGCTCTCAATCTCCGATAGACAATATAGCTTGATGCGATCGAGCAGTCGTTCGAATCGAGCTACAGCAGGCGGACTAAGCTGGACACCTACATCGGCATCTAGAGTTGAAAAGCTGAAACTTTCCCTCGTTGAGTGGCGAGTATCCCCAACTTCGTTTTCCGCAAAGCTTTGTCCCATTGCCATTGGAAGGCGATTTGACCGGGCCTCGTCACGCAGCAGACGCTGTCTCTGCAGTATACGCATCATGATAAGCTCATAACTTTGATAGAGACGTCTCAAGACGGCCAACTGTCTACCCAGCCGATGTAATTCATGGACCAGGTCAACCTCCGGTCTCGATAACATGTCTTGCCTCTGAACAGGGTCAGTGTATGCTTGTGAGAAGGTAAAGAGCCATCACCATGGACTTACAAGTCTGTTGAGGGATACCCCGTATTTATGTTCGCGTTGTGCAACGAGAGCATACGATGAAACCCAGTCATCGAATATATAATAGAACAACAAGCTCGGCCCATCTTCTTGCTTGATGCTCACCTGTTCTGGACCACCCTCAAAGAACGGTCTTACTCGAATAGTAACCAACGAGTCACTTTCAGACGAAGCAAAGTGCTGTTTTGAGACTCCCGCAAAGATGAGCTGGATGTTCCTGCGGACTACGCCGAGCACAGCTTGCAGCTCCTTCTCCGATGGCCCAGACAAACCAGGAAATGGATTTTCCTGCATGCAAATGACCGTTCCTTGACCAGTCAGCACAACATCCTCGTGTCTCCAATAGCAAACTTACCATCATTACATAAGATCAACCAGGTCCATAGTCGCTTTCCATCCGGCAACTCTCTCCCATTATGTTGGTCTGTTTGAGGAATAACAAATAGCGAATTGTACCCAATACAAGTATCTAAATCCGCGTTAGTACCGCCTCAATGAATTCAAAGATATAAGCATACACTTCGAACCATAGTCCACCGAGCAAAAGTGCCAAATCTGATCAATGACATTGCCAAAGGTAATACCTCTGAACGCCGCCAATGCCGCAATTTCTTCAGGATGTCTCAAGTTCTGTAGCGCATTCCCCTCCACATCATCTGGACGAGACCGACGGGAGCGATCGGTATTATTCGAGCGAATATTATTCCTCTGTGGCTCAGAAGGCACAGGAGGCTTCGAAGGACGTTCCACCGGATCCGTACACATCAACCCCTGCAGCCGCTCCGAGACACCATAGTGATTCGTAAGGGTCTTGATCAAATCCTTCTGTTGCTCCGGAGCCCAGATATTACTAGATAGAGAGGTCAGCAACCGATTCTAACAACAGAAGGACAATACTAGAAAGTACAACGTACATCCACCTCGTACCAAAACACTTCGATTTCTAAGCCCTCATCGTCAGCACTCCATCTTCCCCACTCCGCAGACAGCACATACAGGTTTCCTCAACATCGCCGCAATATCCTCCTGCCCCAGATTCACCGCACACCAAGCATCATCATTCCCAAAGTCGAGCACAAAGTTACGCGTTTGAGAATCCTTCAAGAGCTTCAAATACGCCTTGAGGTTAGTTTCATCATCGATATCACAGAACGCGTTTTGCAGATTCGGTCTGGATTTGAATCCGGCGTAGTATTCCTGGGGTGTTTGGAAGGTGGTTGAGCGGACGAGCTCGGACATGCTTAGTAGTAGTTAGGATGTAGCTGTGCTTGTTAGCTAGATGGCAGTAGAGATGATGTATAATAAATAGTAGCAAAGATAAAAATGCCCAGAAACTCTATGCACGCAACTCAAGACAACTGAAAATTAAAAGACGAAAGACAAGGCTGTCGGCGCCTCTAAATAACTAAAACGGGCGCATAGCTAACCTAACCTACTAACCTACCCTGTAGGTATAGTCTAGCCCAGTCAGTCAGTCAGCCCAGCCGTGCAGGTGCATGATGATCGAAATCATTCGAAGGGCTGAGACCTGAGCATAGTCAGTTGCCGCGGGGGGGGCCGAGAGCTAGGAACTAGTAGAGGGGTTGGGATTGGTGCATCGCAGCTGACTGCCTCGCCCGTGACACACGAGGGCGGCGCGCGACGATCCATCACAAGCGCCCTTCGAGCTGAATGTTTGAGAGGGTGTGAGGGTTATGCAGATTAGCGCCCGTGTGACAGGCACCAATCATGAGTACCGGAAAGGTGCATACTAGTAGTACAAAGTACTAGTGGTTTGGGGAGTGTATTGCTGCGCCATCATTGACATGGGGTTTTCTTTCGGAGAATGATGCAGGTGCTTTAGGGTACTAAGAAGAGGGGGGCCTATCGAATAAGCGTGTCAGTGTAGCCGCAGGGTCGGTCAGGGTCTATACTAGTATGGTTGCGGGTGGGCGTTGGAGGGTTGTGATGCCAACGAGAAAGGTTTATTGGAGGTGAATCTCGCAATAACAATTTGTTTTTGAGGATTTGATAGATTGGGATGGTTGTGCTATCTCATTTAGAAATAGATTCAGAATGAGTGATTTCAAGGGTAGAGAGTTGATCCGAACTAGCATGTCTAAGCCACATTGCAGTGGCTTAAACCTTACAGGCATCGTCAGAGCCGAACCATGGATGCCTAATGGAAAGGTACACCAACAGGGATTCTCTAATCGAATATTATTAGACATTCCTACTAGGGTCAATAGAATCTAGCCGCTAGGCGAAGAGGATGTGTGGTCGACCATATGTAGGAGACAGTGGCGGTGCACACGACGATGGGTAACCAACGGTGTTCCATATGATTATCTTAGCTTCAACTTCAACAGTGCTTTCTCAACCCTCCAGTGAGAGTCGCAACGCCCTCAAAATAACGCAGAGACTAGACGTCATGTCCCTCTGGTGAGTAGTACATCGTACAGATGCTGTCGCTACTCGGTTCAGCTGTCACGAACGTTAGCGCCCGTGACCCACCCATTTCTATAATTGGGTCCGTGCCCAAATGGGTGGATGGGTACTGACCATCTGATTCTATCAAATGTCTTTGGAGGTTGTTGATCCTTAGAAAGCCAAGCCTGTATCTGTGGCAGAAAACTGGTTGGTAGTATATCCCCTTGAAGCAATGACGTATGTTTCTCTGTAATGGCAAAATGATTATATTATCTATCAAACATTCGTAACTATAGACAAGAAAAAGGGACAAAAGCCGCGGTATAGCCATGTCTATCCCAACAGCATTTCCACAATCATTGTGGAAAGAATATGTTGAATATAAATATTCGTGCATCTTGTATCCCGTCCCTAGAGGATACCGCACCCCATCAACAAATTTTGTTAAACTCTGACAGACGGCCAGACTCTAAATCGCTTATGCTATCGCTGGAACGATCATCGCTTGCTATCTCAAACAGATTTCGAGGGAGGTATACGGAGAGTCGGAGAGGCGGTTATATACGGTCACTTCGATTAAGCTTCTTGAGCCCATCGTCGCTCCCGGAGGGGCATCTCTTCACCTGCCTGGGTCCGCGACCCGTCTACCTCCCGGCGCCATGCGTAGTATTCGCCGAGACGGACCTCGGCGTAGGAGGCGTAATCGAAGTCGATCTGTGAGATTTGGGCTTGGATGAGTGACCAGACGCCCCTGTTTAGATTAGCATGTAGCATATGAAAAACACGTAAGGGACAATACCAGTAGAGTCCGGGAATGCCTCGGAACCGGTCGACGTCTTCGTAGAGTCGGTCGACAATCTCCCCTTGAGATGACTCCGGGATACCCTTGTGGTAGCTGTAACTCTTGACATATTCAGTCAAGAACTCGCGTCGCACAGAACGGGTGGGGAGCATGTTGTAGTCGCAGTCATAACCGCCCCATTCGGCAAAGTGGTTGACAATGTCGAAGGCGGCAGGTGAGGGGGTGGCATATTCGTAGTCGATGAAGTTGACAACGGCCGCTTCATCTTCCGAAGAGGCGCTTTCGGGCAACACAATGACGTTGGCGCAGAGAAGGTCACAGTGAGAGAAAACCAACTAGTGTGAGGTTAAATGGTCGTTCCGTATAACAGGGACTAGTGCTACGTACTCCACCATCGCCTAGGCCCTTTCCATCGTCTAGCTCGCTGACAACCCGCTCCAGCTCCTTTTGCAGACTAAGTCTCCGTTGGCGCTGCTCCTCCGTGGTCGTGGGCAGAGCAAGGATCCATTTCTGGAGCACACTCCACATGCTCGGCCCAGGCTGCTTTGGGGTGATCACGGAGATGTCCTCGTGCTTCAACTTCTGGCAGTGTGCCGTGGCCTCATCTACATGTTGCATCAGGGTCACGTCCTCGGCGGGCATTAGCGGTGCGGCAGCTCCCTTGATGGGCAACACCGCATGCCACTGCGCAAGTCTCCTGGCCACACCACGCCAGACGGCAGGCGTGGCAAGGTCCTCCGCGCTGGCTGGGCGGCCACGGAGGAACCGGTACAGGAGACCATTGTTGAAGCGCGCCAGGAGAGGAGGGGCTAATCCATGGCTGGCCAGAAGAGCATGGGAGCTCGTTTCTCCTATAGGTAGAAGTATCTACTCAGCATGTGTCGCAATGGGCAGAGAGGAGGGGCAAGTAGTGACCCCGGGTGGCATACTTTCGCGGTCTATGAGGATTTCTGTGTGGTTACCGTACGCTCGCATCAGTACTGCTTCTTGGTCTATCTGCTCCTCGGTCAAGCCGGGCTTGCGATTGATGATTTTAAGAAGCTGGAGCCACGTTAGTCCCATAGGTAGGCGGTGTTGCCTCTTACAGCGAGCACCGGCGAAGAGAACATTGCGAGGAACACACAGTATTGGTGATGCCATCCGTGAACCGGACAAACTCGATCTTGTTGTCCGGTCCCTCCCAGTGTGGATTGAGTGTCAAGATGAGCCTCAGCGCGGAGGCATGAGAGTCGGCATGATTGTATGATAGGGGAATGTGACGGAAGGGCTTGCGGTCTTCTGCATGCATTATGGCGGTTGTGGGAGAATCCAAGGGGTTGAAAGGAGGGAAAGAAAAAAAAAAAAATGGCGGTGATCGATCAATACGCGACAGTCGACCAGGGTCTAGCCGTTCTAGAACTCTTCCATGCAAAGTCAGCCACACGATTCAAGCGGGTTGCTAGTTATTGGCATGATAAGGCATAGCCTTGAAATAAAGCACACATGTAGAACAAGGGTACCCACGTACCTACTAAAAAGTGATAGACAGAACAGGAGATTTTGCTTTTCCGGTGTGGTCCGTGAGCCGTCTGAAAAGGGGTGATTACGAGTACAAATTGGCCGGCAATTGATACTCTCAGAGACAGGCGCAAGAGAAATGACGAAGAGGAAGAGAACAGGAGAGGAGGAGGAGAAGATGTCGCCGCTGGTCTCGTGCCAGCGACTCACTGATTGGAAGGCGGCGGCGGGCCCTGAACCCCTCCTTTTCCGCCTTCTGAGGATTGCACCGCAGCCAACCAACTGGCTGACCATCCGTTGAGATGACGCCAGTGTTACCCCTCCGCTGAATAAGGCATGAAGACTCGTGAGGAAGCTTAGAGGGCTGATATTGAGCTGGCCATCAGTATAGCTCATGGCGATACTGGCTGTTATGCTGGCGGCATCAGGGGTCAGGGGTGTTGAGCGTATGATAGCAGCGTATTGATGGATACAGTACAGAACAATACGCAACATAGATAAATTGCGGTCGACTAGGAGGACCCTAAGTATAACAACAAAGAGATTATAAGAAGTATAGAATAGAGCAGGAGCTACTAGCCAGCTAGTATCTACAATATGCCTGTTTGTCACATATCATCTACATCATTAACTCAACATCCAAACAAACATATCTCTATACTGTGTACATTGCACGAAAGCCTGAATAATCTCGCTGCGTACTTCTTTCATTTCATCTCAAAGTAGTTAATCCATTGTATCCTCTGCAACGAACAATCTAACCTCACAAACCCACATACTACAAGCCATCCACACTACAAAGTAAACATCGATATACTTCTACCATATAATACCCGGTACCAAACAACCCAATACCAACATCAATACAACATAAAATACACAGCACACCTCCACCCCACCTCCCTCACCGATCCCATTCCAAACTCAATCACATGTGATTTCCTCCCTCTCCCCTCAACAATTATCCATCAACCACGTGATTACCACCAAACCTAACCCTACCCCCTCCCACCTCGTCACCCACTAGCCCCTAGCGTCCCCACCCTCCAACCCCTACATAAACCCCCCCTTATCCGCCGGCCCCCCCCCTTCGCCCTCCTTTTTTTTCTTTTCTTTTCTTCATCATCAGTAGCGGTTTACTTTTACCTTCAAGTAATTTAGTAAATCTTACCGGGGCTCCGTCACCGTACGGCTCGCTGAGGGTTATCTTGTGTGGGATTTTTTCTCTATGGGTTTCTCCTCCGTTCCCAGCCTTGCAGAGCAGTTTTCGTCTTCCTTTTTCCCTTACAATTCATGGCTTGGCTAGGGTTTTTTTGTTCGAAAGGATAAAATCCCCATGCGCTTGAGCTGTGGAGGAGGCGGTACATTACATTTCTTTCTTCAAACTTGGTTCTTTTATGTTGAATGGGGTTTGAGGGAGGATTATATAGAATGTTCGTAGATGGGTGCTGGCTTTGTCCTTTCTGTACATTATATATATTCCTCTATCGGAAAGTGATATTGGGGTGTGTATATGTGACAGCGGTGAAGTTGGGTTCTTTGGGATCCGCGTGTCACGTGGTTTCACTAGCTTAAGGGCTTGTGGTACTGGTGCGGACTTCTCAGTACTTAGCATCGCATATGGCATGCGCATATGGGCGCAGGATTATTGTCTATGCTGGAGTTGCGGTACTACTAAGCAGTTGGTCTCGTCAACTGGATTCATAATATTGCCCTTGGATTGCACCAAGTATGACTGACAGTGCTATTGCACCTTACTACATTGGGTACTGTGTGCTGCTTATTTAAGGTTGATTTCATTCAATTCCTCCGGATAAGATAAGCACTTTCTCAATGCGGTCATCACTTTTATTTCATATCTCATACTATAACTCCATCCCTCCCTCACCATTATAAACGTATATATCTAAGAGGCAGCTGCTACTACACCCGTCCAGCATTTCCAATCTGGATCCTCTCTCCCGACCACTTATCATCGCGACGCAGCACCGGCCAGCTCGTCCCGTCAGCCTTGACCAGCGTCAGCTCCAGCTTGGTGCCCAGCACGCGGAACTTGGACTGCTCGGGATTGATGGGCGCAAACAGCTCATATGAATCTGTGTAGCGCTTGTTATCCGTCGTAGGGAGGTCCAGCTCGATCGACGTGGCCTTGAACTCGACCTTGGCGGTGTCTTTGTTGATCTTCTTCAGGTAGAGCGACACGTTCACGGAGGAGGCGGTTTGGTAGAAGTCGTTCCTGTACATCATCCATCATATATCAGTATACTTCCGCTCCGTAGCAATTACCCACAACCGAAGAGAGAAAGGAGGGGTCACTCACCTCACAGACTCGACCTTCTCCTCACCCGCCGGCTTCCCCTTCCCCACAAACAGATGCTTCTTCTTCTCCGAACAACCCTGAATCTTCAAGAACTCATCAAACTCCAGCACCCGCTTCTTGCAGCACGACCAGCCCTTGCTTCCCTCGTGGAAGATCGGCTGGCCCGGGTGGTACACGCACTTCTCCTCGTCGCGAGAGACGTTCGCATCGTAGCCTGCGTTACAGCCGCGACGACGGCAGGTCGCGTTCGCGGGGATGGCTAGCTCCGGGTCATCGGATTCGGGTTCTTCGGGCACGGGGGTGGGCGCGTTCGAGGGAGGAGGGATAGCGGGGGAGTTGACGGGGCGGGGAGGAGCGGCGGCGGCGCTGGGGACGGGAGTAGCGGCCGGGGATGGTACATCAGCGGCGGGTTTGGGAGGTTCGACGGGGGTGTCGTCGACAGTGGAGTGTTTGCCTGTGGTGCAGGGAGGGATGGCGAGGAATTCGTCAAAGGTGAGGACGCGGGGTTTGCAGCATTTCCAGCCTGCGGGGTGGTTCAGTTAGTATGTTGGATATGCGATCATGTGTAAGTAGATAGATGAGTGGAACTGAGTCAGGAAGCAGATCAGATAGACGGTGGATTTAACTAAACTACTCCCAAGGTCCCCCCTTGGAGTCATCTGTTAAATACCTTTCTGTCCTTCGTGGAACACCGGCGGGCCAGGATGATAGACGCAGGGCTCGTCGGCGTCGGTGAATTCCTTCCCGCAGCCCTTGTGGACACACTTGGAGGCCATGCTGGGGGAAATGGGGTGGAAGCGACTGAAATGAGAGGAAGCAGAGCTGAGTAAGAGAGAGACCGACGGTTCAACGGTATCTCCTGGGGAAGAGATATGAGTCTATGGGGGGGGGAAAAGATCGATCGTCGCAAACATCGAAGGTCGAAGAACCGCCGCTCTGAGGTTCGGCCCAAACGGGCTTAGCCGGGGGGAGAGCTCGAAGGTTCCAGTCATTCAATCCATTCTTGCTCTTCCCCGCGATTCCATCTACAAGTTCTATACTCTTATCTTAATTGGTTTACTTCAACTTTGACTTCCAATTATCATCTGAAATTACCGATTGTACAGCAACATGCTCCCCACCGCCGCCCGTCTCGCCGCTGCTCGCGTCACTCTCTTCACCCGCGCCAATTGCGGCCTCTGCGACACCGCCAAACTCACCGTCACGAAGCTGCACAAGCGTCGTCCCTTCGATTACACCGAGTTGGATATCCAGCTCCCGAGCAATAAGTCTTGGAAGGATGTCTACGATTTTGATGTTCCCGTGCTACACGTCCAGTCGGTCCAGAGTGACGCGTCGTTGTCGGATCCGAAGAAGCTGTTTCATCGGTGGACGGAGCAGGAGATGGAGACATTGATCGACGAGGCGGAGAAGAAGCAGTAGCTGGAGACAGCTGTCTAGGATTGTGTATATATATAAATACTGTAAATATGCATGTATTATGAGTTCTATCTTGATATTCGGTTCTGTACGTGGGAACCGCAGCATTCATATTGGTCCCCTTGGTCGCAGTGCAGTCGATAGGGAAAGGAACTCGGCAGGGTCACCGCTTCCGCAATGACGGAGATCTATATAGTAAGTTGATCTCAGTTAATGTACTATAGGAGGAGCTCGTGGGAATCTTGAATTGAAATAGTAAGTAAACTATAGTAGTGCTAATATGAGTTTTGTTCGGGGAATTGGGCCGGACATATACTCCTAGCTACTAAGTACTATATATTATCTCATTGGTGACGGTAGCTGAGTACTATTAGATCAAAAAGATATGATATCGCTGGCTGCCAAGCAGCAGGGGTGATTTGACTATTTCAACAAAAAGTAGATAAACTGTAACATCAAACCGACTGATATAGTAGTATGTCCTATAATGTCTCATATGTAAAATTTTGATGATAACTGCCATCAATCAAAACACAAAGGGTATCTTATCTACATCTACATCACATATCATCTCCCACCAAATCAACCAACAAACTCTCAACCCAACACAAATTTCCCAGTTGACTCTGACTCTGCCTACGTTCTCCCCCAAGCGAATCCACAGCACCGCCACTCGTCCTCCCCACCAACCTCGTCCTCACCTCCCCGTCCAACCCCGTCACCATCGCATCCCCCACATCCCGCTGCAACGCACCCGCCAAATTCTCAAGCGTGCTTCTTCCCAACCTCGCAAGACGAGTATACTCCCCAGCCCGGAACCCTTCATACTTCGTCAACATGGAGATAACCCTCGTCCAGGCCCTCTTCAGCGGCGCCACGCCCGAACTAGGACACAGCCGCGTAGCCAGAATGACAATCCCACAGGCATACAGATACTCCACGTTCTCCCAGTAGGGCGAGCCTGCGCCGCGCCAGGTATCATCCGGCCCGCCGTCGAGCAGCCAGTCCTCGGTTTCTTCGATCAGGTCGACGAGGTCTGCGGCAACGGCGGCGCATTTGAGGGAGGTGTCGCGGACGATAGTTACTAAGATCGGAGAATTTATGGACGATGAAGGATCAGTCTCTGACATGTGAGGGTGCTTTTTAGAGCGGCAGGGGCACTTGGCGGAGAGGGCGAGGCCAAGAGCTAGGAGGGGTCGGTAGAGTCGCAGTCGGAGATAGAGGTAGCGGGCGTGCAGGGTGTGACGTTGTCGGCGGACAATGGGGTCGTCCGCTAGTTCGAAGGTCTCATCGGTGCGGAGAAATGAGGGTAGCGATGTTTGCCAGTCGTAGAGAAGAGCATCTGTTTTTAGAAACGGGGAGATGTCCAGGGCGAGAAGTTTCTTCGCGGCGCAGGTGTCTGGTCGGGTTCTTGCTTCGGATTCCCAGGCAGTGATGTCTTCGACGTGGGTGTAGAGCCTGGCGCATGCGATTAGGAACTCGATGATTGAAGGCCGGTCTCCACTGGAGTTGGGCGTCCCGCCGGAGACGGTGTCGATGTAGTCGGTGTCTAGGTGTGTGGGGAGGTGCACCTGGAGGGGGTTGTTGACTTGGGGCGGTAGGCCTAGCTGTAATGCTAGCATTCGCTCCAGGATGATTGCGCTGTGCCAGAGCCTGCGGCCGAGTTCGCGCTGCTGTCTTTCTCGGCCGTTGCGGGCGGTTGTTTGGGACTGGAATCCTAGGGCTTGCATGGTGCGGATGGTGTAGCCGATCAGGGCCCAAGCTTGTTTGGATTTTCCTGTTGCGTTGAGGTACTGGCATTGCAAGAAGAGACATTGCACACGCACCCAAGGGGCGCTCTGCCAGTCTGGGCTGTTTGTCATTCTCTGGGCGTGGTTGAAGAGGGACTGCAGATAGGCTTCATCTACTTGGCGGTATCTCAGACCGGAGAGAGACAGTATCATCATGAGTATGGCGTGAAAGCCACTCGACCCAGCGGTGAGGTCTTGCACGTCGCCGACCTTTTCGCAGGCCGACTGAAAGTCTGACAGGCCGAAGATAGGCCAGTTCACGTAGTCGCGGGCCAGGTAGGTGGCGATCAGGCTGTCCATCAGATCTGAGGGCAGTTGGGCTGGAGATTCGGCAATGGTGGAGTGAGGAACGCAGTCTGGCCCTGTATCTTGCAGCGAGAATATGCCATCTTCGAATGGAGCTTCAGTCTTGACGCGCCCTGTTCTTGCATCTACAGCCTGCTGCAGCCAAGTCAGGCGCGAGATGTGGGCATTGATCCCGGTACCCGACGGGTTAGGAGGGTCGCTGTCATCTGAAGTGATAGAGTATACCTCCACCAAGTCATGTTGGTTTCGATCATGCCGGGGAGGAGAGGACTCATCCCGCCGACGCTTCCTCTGCGAGCGCGGGGCAACATTGGAAGTATTGCGTGGCAGGGTTTGCTGCCTCGGAGGTGAGAGAGAGCGACTCTCATCCTCTGAATGAGATATTTTGGCTTTTTTATAAGAGCTGCAGGATGTCAGGTCGATTCAAAGTTCATAATATACATGTGCAGACGTACGTGGCGGGAGGCATATCCTCGGGCCGGTAGGAACATTGTTCGTCGAGTCCTCGTTTCTTGCATCCTCCACAGGCTGGCTGGCATTAGCTCCACTTTACAATAGATAGAGGCATAGAGAACAAACTAGGTTGAGACCTGTCACATCCCCGCCTTTTCAAGCGGCAGACGCAACAGGGAGTTGGGGGAAGGTTCATGGCGCGGGCTGCGCGTTCGGGAGGCTACTTAGGAAATGAGTCTGTGTGATGTAGCGGTCGCATGAATGCCTGTTATACCAAGAAGATAATAATAAAGCGTTGAATTTAAATATGACATATATTATAGTCTGAGAGTCACAGAAACCCGCAACCTACAATGAGTGCCGCAGCCTCTTGACTGAAGGATGGGAAAATACAGAAGGGAACTTCCCACGGGCGCGTCCGTCAACTGGCGTCGCGCGTGGCCCGGGCTGCCTGGTGCTTTCTGTATGTGAATCCAATCTCAACCTCAACCTGATTCCAACCCATACAAAAATAATGAAATTAATTTGTTACTATTATTTGTCCGCCATTTCCAGTACTAGCCAAGTCCTCATGCCATCTCATTTAACCATCACATCCATGGCTGCCCTCTTGAGGAGGGTCCACACACCCGTTATCACACAGCTTAGCATGGCCAACCTGGCCCGGATTCGTACAGTGGAAGAGAATGTTGGTCAGGTTTTGGTTCTCATATCCGGTGCCTTGGAGGGCGTCTGTCAGATCAGACTGAGAGAAGCCTGTACCAGTTTCATATCAGCATCAGCTAGCCAGATGGAGAAGTAGATACTATATGACCTGATAGTACATATAGTTGGAATAGTTGGAGAAGGTCTCACCCTTATCATTCAACAGCACATCCGAGCAGTAATCGAAGCTCGGGGTACAGGTTTTATCAGCCACAGATAGCCCAGTTAGGGTCAGGGTGAGGAGGGTGGCCAAAATGGTAGGTGGCTTCATTGCTATAGAGTATTCGGGTATACTAGTAGAATGTATTCAATAGTAATGGGAAATAGGGAGAAAGGGTGAATTTGGTCTAGCATGAATGCTGAATGTGTTTATATAGTCCTGTCTGAGCACATTCCTGGTGATGTCTGCGCTGCGGGGATTGGAATGTGGACGTTGCTTGGTATGTCTCGTTTCATCATGATTTGAGATGACACTGTAGCAGTGAGTTTGAGCAGCATGGTGGTGAAGGCCAAGTATGTATGTGGCTTCACCCATTGAGATCTAGATTGGAGACTAGCATAGCATAGCACATCGCAGCGAGTCAGAAACCAGGACCGGTCATCCTCGGTGATCGCGCAACGCTGTCTCCACTAATGGAGGAACCTCAGCCATTGGGATACAGCGACACGCCATACCAGCAATGGCAACGGAAGTCGACGGTGGCTGGATGACATCCAGATGCCTAATGTAGTGGATGTTGTGGGGTTTCAGCGTGGTATCGATGCACTGTACTAGTATAAGTGGAGGTATTTCCGTGTTCTCTATCGCTCCATCTTTAAGTGAGACTCACGGTGGAGAATAACAAGGACGGTATACCCGGCTTCATTTTCCCTGTCAACCCAATCACTTCTGTCAGCGCCTCATGTTCTGGATAGGCAGAACTCACGCTCGGATGCTGCCTTGGAGAAGGGTCTAATGCAGTGAATAGTTGCTTTTGCTGGGTTCTTTGTTCTCCTTCCTACCTATCACAACCTTGTCTCTTAAGTTCTCACTAGTTTACTGAACCCTGCAAGCCTTGTCAGGCAGGATGGAGACTAAACGCGTCTGGTGGTTGTGATTCGGGCTTTTGTTATGATGGGCTGTTCCCCTAAACTCACCGTGTCAGTTTGAAAAGAATCGTTCATCCAGTCTGTCAGTCAATCAGTCGCTCGTTACCTTTTCACTCGTTTCCTGTTAAAATCCAAGGCTCTCCAACATGGAGAGATCCGACAGCATTTCCCTGCCCAGCATTGAGGCTCAGCAAACTCAAGGACAGACCACTGACAAGGATGATACCAAAGACAACAGTCAGAACGCAACCATTGCAGCTCCCCAATACCCTTCAGGGATCAAATCCTATCTCGCAGTTGCAACCTTGTGTCTGGCAATCTTCCTCGTCACCTTGGTATGCTATCCTCAGTTGGGTACCACATATACTAACGTGCAAACCCTACATCTAGGACAGCACCATCATAGCCACAGCGATGCCCTACATCTCTGACGACTTCCACTCGCTGGGCGATGTCGGCTGGTACAGCAGCGTCTACACCATGGTCATCTGCACGACCCAGCTCCTCTTCGGCAAGCTCCTTGCCCGCTACTCCGTCCGCTGGATTTATAGCATCTCAATGCTGTTCTTCCTCGTAGGCTCCGCCGTCTGCGGCGCAGCGCCCAACTCGCACTCCCTCATCATCGGCCGCGCCATCGCCGGCGTAGGCTGCTCAGGACTCCTAGTCGCGGCCTTCTCTCTCGTTCCCATCCTCGTTGCCCCAGCCAAACGGCCCATCCTCCTCGGTCTCCTCTCAGGATCCCGCGGACTCGCCACGACATTCGGACCCTTGATTGGAGGTGTCCTCACCGAGAAGGTCTCCTGGCGGTGGAACTTCTACATCAACCTTCCCATAGGCGCCGTCATCCAAATCGCCTTCTTCTTCCTCGTCCATCCGCCTAAACGAGACCACGAAGCCTTCACCTCCTGGACCGAGTTCCTCAAGACCCTCGACCTCTTCGGCCTCGTAGCTCTCCTCCCATCCATCGTCTGCCTCCTCCTCGCCCTACAATGGGGCGGCCTCAAATACGCCTGGCAAGACGCCAGAGTCATCGTCCTGCTAGTCCTAGCAGGCATCCTCGCCATCGCATTCATCAGCGTGGAGATATAGCAAGGTCCCAACGCCATGCTCCCTTCGAGGGTATTCACCCAACGCACCGTCTCAGCAGCATCCTTCTTCGGCTTCTGCACCGTCAGCGCCATCTTCGTCCTGACTTACTATCTCCCGATGTACCTCCCCTTCCCCTCTCACAACCACCCCCCAACTAACCAATAAACCCAAAACAGCTGGTTCCAAGGCGTCAAATCCGCCACGCCCATCCAATCCGGAATCTGGACCCTCCCATGGGTAATAACCAGCACGATCGTCTCCCTAGCGGGCGGAATCCTAATGTCCAAAGTCGGCCATCCGGACTTATTCATGGGAATCGCCATAATCTTCGGCGCCGTTGGCTCAAGCCTCTTCACCACCTTCACTGTCGACACGCCCACAGGGGAATGGATCGGATATCAAATCATCTTTGCCATATCGTCCAGTCTGTGTAGTGTCACCCCGTTGATGGTAGCGCAGCAGGCACTTCCCTTGAAGGATATTCCAATTGGGTCGGGGTTGGTCATGTTTTCGCAGACGGTGGGGGCGTATGTACCCCCCTCCCTCTTTCCCTTCATCCCTTTGTTCTAGGTGTTTTTTTTCTTTTTGGGACTGGTACTGATAAAGGTTATGTATGTTTGGTGTAGGTCTATATTCGTCGCCGTCGCCCAAGCGCTCTTCACGAACGAGCTCAGTGCGGGGTTAAAGGGCACTGCAGTGGGTGATGGACTTGATGTGAGTGGGTTGTTGTCTGGGGGGATTTCGACCCTTACAGAGGGGTTGTCTGGGGATGCGAAGCGGGCGGTGTTGGTGGTGCTGAATGAGGCGTTGACGAGGTCGTGGCGGTTGGCTGTGGTGTTGGAGTGCGTGGCGGTTATTGGGGTGTTGGCGGTGGTGCAGGGGATGAGGATGAAGAGGGTTAGTGCTGGTACTTCATAGGAGTGGGTATTAGATGGGGTTTTGATTGTAAGTTGTTGAGGGGGGAGGTTGGTGTTGAGGTGAGGTGAGGTGGGGTGGGGTTAAGTTGTATAGGTAGTAGTATATTGACATATAGGTAGTATAATGGCGGTATATATAGTACATCTCCCTTCGATGAAGGATGATGTACTATGAGATATGCATGGACGCTGGTCACTGTAGCGGCTACTCCTACTCATGTTACTAGTATACGCATCTAGACCAGTGGGAATAATGGCAGAAAGATTATTATATATTGATTGGCATACTGCACTCGACAGGGCCAGTTCAGGCTGCTCCTATGTCCAGCCCATCCCATTCCTATATCCGATCCGTCCAACAGTCGTAAAGGCATGAAAAGAAAACAAAATGGGTGTCTCATCAGACTCCCCCCCAGCAAGTGATGTACAACGAAACCAAATACAGTGTGAGCAAAATCTGCAAAGAATCATAATAAGCCAGCCAGCCAAACAACCAGCCAGTCAATTCTATGACTGGAGTGAGGATGGATGGGTAGGTGTGTCTAAAACCACATCACGCCCACCACTAGGCCGATCACTATGGCCATGCAGCTACCCCGGCGCATGTGCTCGGTCTCCTGCTGAAATCCCGCGACTTTGGACTGCCCGGCAGTCAGTGCGGTGCTGTTGGGGGAGAGAGCCGGCGGGGGCGGCGTGGCGCTTGGCGTGGATGCTGATTGACTGGCGTTGTCGTCGGCGTCGTCGCTGCTATTCACGACTACTGCCTTCGGGGGTATAGATTGTTCGCGGGGTGTGTGGTTATGTGGGACTGTTGGATGTGAGGAGGTGGTGTGGTTGTCGTGTTGTGAGAGGTCGAAGTTGGGCTGGCGGGCTTGCCAAGCAGTCATGTTCTCCAGATACTCGCTCCCCGCGCGGCAGACCTGCTGCCATGAGGCACGGGACAACCCTAGCAACCATCGAGATACATCAAACACGCTGCTGGTGGCTGGTATCATGGAATTGCTGGTAGGCGACACTCCGAAAGGTCCGTCGTCGAGAGGAGCAGCTGGAGTAACTGAGGAATTGGCGAGGGCACTGAGTCGCGTAGGTAATTGCTCGATGGCATCACCCTCCGCTGCAAAGGTCGGAAGTAACTGCGACTCATCCGGCTGCCTGATGACCATTGCCTTAAAAGCGCGGACTCCCCGAGTGAAAGCCGAGGATTCTCGGGCCGGAAATGCCAAAGGATCGGTATCGAAGACGGCAGCAGCCTCAAAAGAGCTCCGAGATGGCGCGTCCACCGCACAACGTCGCGGACGAGCTTTGCGCTCATAGAACCCCTGATATCCATCTAGGAGCCATGGCTTCCAGCCAGTCCCAGGAACCCGAGATCTTGTTCGAACATCGGCCCAGTTATCTTTTCCCCGAGAGACATCTGCAGCAGCACAACCGTTAGCTTGTCTGACTCAGCCAAACACATGGGGGACAGAAAAAGGGGGAGGGGGGAATGATAGAAGAAGATATAAGGAATGCATACGTCGAACGTCATTGCGATAGCCAATATACCCCAAGTGCACGTTATAGAAATCCCATTCCTTTGCGAGCGACGGCACCAAACTAAATAGCGAAAAGACCAAGAGAGCAAGAAACGGAATGGCCCCAGGTTTCTGAAGCCCCGACCGCATCATCCACAGTCAGCGACCGACGAAGGCCTGACTTTTGGGTTTCCAATCCACAATCCTCGGAGGGAAAAGAAAGAGGTATTTCTAACAGCCGATGAGGATCCCGCGTGCTTGAGAGGCTTCCAGAACGAACAGCTTCATTGCCAGCGAGGAAATCAAAATTAAAGGAGAAAAATAAGTAGTGGAAATTGGAAAAGAGATTCAAGGTTCGGAGGGTTTATGCAAGTAAGTAAAGAAGTATAGATGCGTCGCAGCCTCGTTCAGGGTCTTCTGACGGACGTGATTGCGCGCGCAGCCTTGGGGGCAGAACCTCGTTCGGGTGCGTTTCTTTTTTCAGGGTCTTGCGCTGGATCTGCGGTCCTTCGCTTCTGGGCGATGATGTCGATCAGGCGGTCGGACGGTCGGGAAGGGAAAGCAGGCGCGTCCTTTTTGGCACTCGAGCCCCCGGCAACGAAGAGCAGAACAACACAACTTAATGTTGGTGGTGGGGGAGGAGGAAATCGACGTGGAGGACGAAGAGGGGAAATCTGATTTGCGCGCAAGATCAGCTGGAGATGGAATTGTAAAGATAATACTGCCGGATGCTGCAGGAGGCGATCCCCGTCGAATGACGTAAAAGACAGAACCCAAAGGGTCGCAATGGCTAAAAAGGTTTGTTTCTTGGCTGGCGATGGATGGCCTCGCAGGTGGTGCGCCAAGAAGGGTCGTCGTCGTAATTTACCCTCGTGTCGATGTCGATGAGAAAAAAAAAGTATCTATAGAAACAAATTGCCCGTTTGCGTGTTGACTTTTCGCCTCTTCACACTCAAAGTTGCCCCCCTCCAGGCATCAGCCAATTCTATTTTCTCATTCACACAACATGAAATATACATTCAGGAGTCAATGGGAAAACTGCTGCCTCGCCGGTAATTTATCTCGTCCTGCCCGGTATGGTATTTTACACCGGACCCTGGGTGGGGGGTTGCCTCAGGCGACAATGCGTTGGCCTCCACTGCAACATCAACAAGAGATCCATCGAATCCATCCTGCCCCATAACCATTGGCTTGAGACTGACAATTGTTGCTACTAGTAACTAGTATCAAGTGTAGGTCCATTATTGTCCAGACAAGCACACACAAGTGGGGTGCATGACATCAACAACATCCTTTGTATCGCACAGATCTATCTATCTACACCCATCACAACTGGCCGGTCTGCTATTCCCACCTGAGCTTTTCATCACGCTTAATCGCTCATACTGACCACAGCTCCTCGCGAGCTGATGCCCAATTCCAATCTATCGCCGCAACTCCGTACAGAGATGATACAGACACGTACAAGTCAAGTAAAAGTTACAGGCCAAGCGCTCCATGCGCGACTCCCCCGTAGGTCCAAGAAGAAGCATATACAGGTTGTAAGCAAAAGGGTATCATATGGGATTCATCATGGTGGGGTCGGGCACAGCGGGTGACATGCCCTCGCTAGTCGTCGGTTTGGTCGCGCGCCCCGGAGAGGAGGTGCTTTTCGGCACTCGCGCTGCCGGCTTCTTCGACGTTGTCTGAGAGGACGGCGTTCGAGTGCCCTCACTACGCTCCTCCCTAGGCGTTTTCAAAGCCGTGGTGCTATTCCCAGCACTGCTTGCGTTCCTTCCCCGCTTCACCATCTTGCCCAAAATCCCCACAATCTCAGCCGCATCCTCGAAGCTCTCGTCGTCCATGCCCTCCTGCGCATTGTACACGTCGGCAATGGCTTGCTTGGCCAGCCGTCGACAGGCGTGAGCGTCATGTAAGCAGTCGTAGAGGTAGGCAGCAAATTCCAGCTTGATGGACAGACGGAGCGGGTGCGAGCCCGGGAGGAATTGGTCCGCCAGGAGTGCAGCATGATTGAAGCATGCGGTAGCTGTGGGGGTGTAGTCGAGTGCAGGGAGGAGAAACGAAGAGGTCGACTTGGGCGGTTGAACCGGCGCGAAGCCCGGGGGTGCCTGCGTAACCTTGCCTCGTGGCGCACCATCTGAGGCCGAACTGGGCTTCCCGGAAACCGTTATCGTATCGGGCTTCAGCTGGAATGAAAATCGCGAATTGGAATCTTTGGATGGTGACTCGGCTTCAGTAACGCCATTGGATAGGGGTGTACTACTCGGCAGGCTGACGATACCCGGCGTGTGGACAGCAGGCTGATTCTGAAACAGGACGAATATATGATAGAAGGAGGCGCGCAACTTGTAGGCTAGAATCTTGAGTTCCATGCATCCCTCAACCAGGGGCAGGACAAACTCCTCTAATATCAAAAGACCCTCGCGGGAAAGCCAGATGATATGATAATAAAGATGAAGCGATTTAGTCTCTCGGGTGGGGTCAAGGCGTCGCAACCGTCGTGCACGGAGGAGTTTCTTCGATAACATAACAGACAGCCCCAGAATCTTGTACAGCATCGCGGACAGGAACGGGTTCTCAAGGCCCGTCATGGCCGCAAAATTGCCCAAGGCCTTCTGGTCCACTTCGGAGGAAGCCATCCACAAAGCAAGGGAGCCGGTTTCTATCACAGGGCAATCGACTGCCAAGTTAGTCATGTCCATGATGATCTGGTATATAACAACAAGTTTCGAACAAGTGCAACCGAACAACAACTTTGGAGGGAAGGACCGATCCCACAGCATCGGACCGTTTAAGAATTCTCAGTCAGTGGCCACATCTTGCCCACCGCGCTCATATAAAAGATAGATGCATCGAAGTGAAACATTCAAAGCGCCAAGGGATCGGGAGCCTTACCTCGGACGCGCGCGCAAACGGTTCTTAGAATTGGATCAGCCGTCGCATGCACCAAAGCTTCCCATGCTCGTGCTGGCGCCTAAAGCTCGATATGTTTGGGTATTAAGTTGCCGGTTCCGCAATTGAAATCCTCAATTGCAAGCGCAGTCCTTCGTTGAATGCGCCCGTCTCAAAATCAGACTCGTCGTATCTGTGGCTTGTCCGCGCCTCTCGGTGCCGCTTCCGAATAGGACTGAATAGCCGATCAGTTGTACATGCAGAGACTCCTAGTGACGAAAGCACAAAGCCGCCAATTTCAACTGGAAAGCAAAAGCAAGTATGTTACATATGTCAACAATTAGTGGTCTTTGATTGGAGAATCAGCGAGGATCAGATCGCGGGTGTACTCCGTAGTGCAATCAGACTTAAATAGCAAATCGTTAACCCGAAAAGGAAACCACCCAGATCAATTCTTCTAGATGAGAATTCTCCTCAGCCTGCTGTCAGCAGCCCTGTATGCAAGGCTATGCTAGCAGAAGAATGTGATAGTCAAGCGGGCGTGGGAGCGCAAAAGGGTATAGGTGGGATTTAGGAACGCAAGGCACGGGGAAGGGGGCATTCGAAACAACAAAGGGCAAGGAACTGATCGTTGTGAAATAGAAGGGAGTCTTGATGCATCGTGTGCAACTAGGCGAGGTAAGGCGTTAGTCTGTGCTTCTTGCCAGCGATGGGCGGGCACCGCCCACGAGTTTGGGGCCGGAAGTGATGGCAGCTATCTCGAGGCTTGAAGTCGCTATCCCATGAAACGAGCCTGCTTGGGTGAGGCAACAGAAGATATAACCACAAAAAGTCAATGTTCTGAAAGTCAATTCTCGTCCCAATTGAAGTTGGGCACTTGGTCGCAGCTGCGCGAGAATGGGGATTAGAGCGACAATGAATGGATGTGCGGAGCAATAATGATGCAAGGGCAGGTTATCTGCCCCGTTGATATTTCCCTGGCCACAGCCAAGTGGATGAAGCCACGGCAGTGCGGAGGTATAATGCCGTGCGAATCAATGCGGCAAAGCTCCACTATACATATAGGGCGAATGGACCCCCGCTTCTGTAGAAAGAGAGAGTACTCCGTGAAATACGATCAATTAGAACGCCGTCTGTTTGTTTTATTAGTTCCTGCTGTGCTCGTCAATTTTCATTCTGCCCTGGCCGCCGTTCCAAGCGGAGATGAGACATCGGGCACCAATTGCAGCCACGGTGAGGGACGTCATTTCTGGGTGGCCACCATCATCGAAATGAAAAAGGAATTACGAAGGGCAATGTGGCATGTTGGATGATGGTCCCGTCCCTAAGACTTAGTAGGCATTAGGCGGAAGGACAGCGCATCAGCTAGTTCGATACGTGTCAGAGCCCAACTGCTGATTTCCCCTGCCGTGCAGCTTTTGATCCAGCCGGGAGGATGAGATAGGAATAGCACAGTGGATCAGCTGTCGCCAGCCTCTTCATTTTTGGCAGCCAAGTCACACATGGCCTGCGAGCAGTGTTGCAGATGGAAGGCCCAGCGCAGGTCCAAACCCATCTTTCTATGCATGAGCGAGCCGCCACTGAGCCGGGTCGCTCAACTAAACTGCAAGCGTGGAAATTCGGCGCCCGCGCGCTTCTTAGCGTTAGGCTTTGCATGAGGATGGCGGCAGCGCTGGATGATGACAGTTGGCGGCCATCTGCCAGCGTGGCATCAGAAGCATCTGTGCGTCTTCCATGGGGCTGTGTGGAAGGTTGGCCCCTCGATCGATTTCGATTACAACCGGAGATGAAAGGAGATGATATCAGTGGCTCTGTCATACCACAAGCACAGGACTGATTGATCAGTTAGATGGGGGTGGATGGATGAATGATGACCGACAGCCTGCATCTGCAACAGTTTGCCGCGGCAGTTCCCCACCGCCTCTTCCGGAGGACAAATGAGTGGAAGCAATGAGCAGCGATCTATTTCCAAGAGTGATCATTAAAACTGAAGCACTATATACATTGCAGCAACACAGATAAGCTAAGAGCAAGGGAAACGTCGCAGCCATAACGTCGTATACCTCCTGTCCATATTCCCGGTAAACAGGCAAGCAGGTACCATTATTCTATATCATCAAGTTCGTCACGGTCCAAAGTTCCGACAAAAGCTCTCTCCAAGAATGCTCTCCATGTTCGATTCTTAGACTTCTTAGACTTCTTGTGCTTCTCATGCTTCTTCTTCTCCACTTCTACTTCGTCTCCGATCTCTCCAGTACCAGAAGCATTCGTGTCGAGTTCTTCGGCGGTCGCATCCTCAACCCAGATATCGTTTTTACCCGCCTTGTCCTTGGAAATTCGCTTCGCCAGCTTGAAGAAGCTCCGCACGGTGAGATCCTCCATCTGGTAGATCTTGTCATTTCGGGTATCGTATTCGACCTCGAACGTAAAGACATCTGCGAGCTTCAGCTCACGAGCACCACTGTCTTGGTCAGAGTCAGAGAATTCGTCTGCCGACGTTTGGTGGCGTTGCGCCATCTGACGGTTGATCTCGGTCAGATTGGCATAGTATTGAGTGTATCCAAGCCAGGTCAATGCCTGGTTAGAGTATGCCGGCCCCGGAGGCGCAGTCGGCGATGGGGGCTTGGGAACCTTGTCCTTGGACTTTTTCTTCTTCTTGTCGGCCGAAAGTCCATCCTCATCGTGGACCACGTTCGCCATACCCAGGTTGTTGTAGGTAGGGGCGTCAGCCGACATCTTGGTCTCTAAGCCACTAATGTTATACTCGACTACCCGCAGCGTAGGGAAGAAGTTCGGCACTACACTCGGTGACACTAACGACACACTGTACCTCTCGGCCCAGGGACCGCCAATCTTTTTGAGAAACTTCTTCTGCTTCTTCTTGGGATTTGAGCTCTTTGAGCTCGTCGCAGCTTCCTGTTCCTCTTCGAACCATCCATCTGCCAGAAAGCTGCCTTTCGGCATACCATCAGGTGGAGACGGTAGACTAGACCAGTCTTTCCTGAGACTGGATAGATAGTCATAACGAGACTGGACAGAGATCTCTCCTGATTCGTCATAAAGATCGGACGAGACAATAGACTCACTGCTGGCAGCAATGTCCACTTTGCGACTATCCTGCAGCATGAAATGATCGATATTCATGTGCCCGTATGCACTTCCGACCACAACGTCACGGAATCTGTTCACATATAGTGTATATTTTTGCCAGCACGTTTCATCCCAGCTGCGTTTGCTACCGGATCTTGCCGGAGGAACATGACCTATCAGAATGGCTTTCATGTCACGTGTCCGCAGCATCTCCAGTTGGATCCGAAGCCACTCCATGTGCTCAAAGCCAGGCTCCGATTTTGCATCGCATCCGTCGACAGCAGAATTGGAGTCGAAGAAGTATAAAGTGTTCAAGCTGATAACTGCGAGCTCATCGGGGATCACCTCCGAGACGAACCAGCCGCCTTCGACAAAACTATGGCGTTGATGCTCGGGGATAAACTTGTGCCAGACTTCGCGGTACTTCTTCGTCCACCGGTTCGGACCGGTCTTCATGATATTGTGCGGCATGACATCGTTATTCCCAAAAGTCGGAACAATTGGGATGGTGTCCTTCCCACCAAAGACCTCGGTGAATTTGTCCACCATGAACTGATTCAAGCGGACGATCTCATCTGCCGTGCGGGGATTCCTCTCATCATTGTCATGCCGTGCAGAGTCACCGGTCCAGATGACAAAGTCTATCTTGTCCTTAAGGTTGTTCTCGATCCAGCGAAATGTCTCGTTAACGAGCGCAATTGGCGAGTCGCATTCAGTCTCTTCGGCGCCATAGTACCCGGCGGAGCCCTCACCTCTGTGGCAGCTCTTTTCGTCGGAAGTTCCGGGCTCGTAGAGGGGGTCTGGATGAAGATCTGGAAGTGGTTAGCCTGTCCCTCCTCTCCTCTTGCCTCTGACATGGTGTAGTTTAAGAAAGGAAGAGGTACCTGTTATGTGCAGAAAGCGGCCTGAAAGTGTTCGGAAGGACTCCGCATCGGCATTTGGTGGCTCGAGCTGGAGCACATCTTGGAGAACATCACCTAGAGGTTGCTGCTCCACAACCGGGAAGGCAGACACATAGATTCCTAGCAGCGAGAGCGCTGAAAGGAGACGAGTCGGAACCATTGGGAAAACTGTGAGTAGGAGGCGAAACCCCGACAATGCGGGAGACCAGTTAACCTTGATCAATAGAGTCAGACATGAAGCACACAGTGAGCACGCGACACACTATGTGAAAAAGCCAAAACGAAGCTAAAAACAAGACCAACAAATAGCGATACCGGGGGTAATTTACATGAGATGGAGGATTTGTTGAACTGGATCGTCGACGACGTCACAGCTACCGCCCCGATGCGGAAAAGCGCGAGGTAGCGTGTGGACCCACTTTGTTTTGTTTGGAACCCGACCAGCAGAGCAGAGGAACACGGGTGAATTGGCTGGCATTTAAATATTAACCCTGCGAGAGACACATTGCTTTGGACATCTGACTCCGGAGTATCAGTCGGACTCGATTCAACAGGTCAGCTGTTGAGCATACCAGAAAAACAAATCAGCGCTGTATGGAGTAGCAAAGATGCGCCGCAGTGTCAGTCAAGGTCCTCCCCCTAATGTAAGGTACTCGCAGCCTGTACCGTCGTCTAAACGGCCCACGTGCCTGGAACGGACAATCAGATTGTCGGAGGGTCTTAGTCATCGACTGCATTTTGGGGTTCTCTTTTCTCTCTTTTCACCCCCAAGGTTGACGCGCTGGCCGCACTGTCATCCGAGCCAGATTCAACTATAGTCGTGATAGGCTGTATGGTCCTGATCTACTGGATAGTGGAGGACACTATGCTGCCTCTGTAGTCCGTACCCCATCTTCGGATGGTCTCTGATTTAGGATTAGGTGAATGAAAGTGATACGGTTTGGTAACTAGAAAGTCAGCTTTGACATACTAATAGAGTCATCTGGTAGACCAACAGGGGTCTGTAAGGAGACGTTGCAGTTGGCTAGAGCACCTGATGGTGTGCCATCGGCCCACAAGAGCAGACTGGGACAAGTATCAGTAGTACGAATGTAAATGAGGAAAGCTTTGTAGTTCAGAAATAATAATAATGATCGAGAGGTATTAGCCAGATCTGGCAACCCAGTCGAAGCATGTGACTTTGAGCTAAGTAGCTTTTCTATGTTTGCTGGATAATTGTCACAGTGGTACCTAACACTCACTCTTCTGTCCTCTATAGTTCTATACAGTAAATAATCTGCCCGAAGTACCTTAACCCGCGGCGATCAGAATCACTCCGGGTATCACCGTTCGGGGGATCGCCATAGGCTGGCCGTTGCTTGTGGAACATGTGTCCCTGACCCCTCACCGAGGAGCGGGGCTTAACGTCCGCGATTTATCAGCTGCTCGACTTCTTCCAGCAAGCACCAGAGCATAATACAGTTTGACACAGCTATAGAGCATCGTCGCATCAGTCAACTCGAACTAAACATGTCCGAATTCCCTACCCTCCAGCCCGCCTTCACCTTCAAGGTAGAATCTCCAGTACAGGACCTCGCGTGCTTACACACAACTAACATTGTCCCCCAACATAGGTCACAATCGATGCTCCGCTAGGCGTCGGTAAGTCCTCAAGACATCTACTAAGTAACAAGGGCCATAGCTCCAGGAAACTGGCTAATTCCTTCAAGGCAGCGCATCTCGGCAGAACAGCCTGCAGGTCGTCGTAAGCAGCCACCCAATCTTCCCTTCCTTCTCACAAGACCATTCCACTAACAATCCAGCATGACTGAAGCCCATGACCGGCGGCACTGTCCAGAGTGTGCCTGGATTCTCTCCTGCTCTTGACGCCGAGTTCGTCGGTGTTGGCAACGACTACATCCACGCGGATGCCGACGGCAAGCACCTGCGCCTGGATGCGCATGGTGTTATCAAGTACGTTTCTCCATTGTTGCAGATATACGCTCCACTTCTAACTACTGAATCACAGGCCAAAGAATGGCGATGATGTACGCAACCGGCTCTTTAACTCCCTCGAGAGTAGCAACTAACACCTGTCATCTACTATAGCTCATCTACCTGAACTACACTGGTGTCTGCACCCTGCTTCCCGAAGTGCAGGCCGTTTTCGCGGGAGCTGCCCCTGACGGCTCCACTCCGTTCAACAGTGCTTGTAAGTTATCCTTTTAAAATTAATGAAAACAGGTGCTAATGCTAGGAATATAGTCACGCACATTACCTTCGAGGTGAGATATACCACATTCCAGCCCGGATAACGAATGCACCAAATCTAACAGACCACCACAAAACCACAGACCGGCAGCGAACGCTACAAGGAGCTCGAGAACCGCGTCTTCATCGCCCAGGGACGCTTCAACATCGAAAAGGGCAAGCCCACTGTGGTCGAGTACCGCGTCAGCCAGGTTGTCCAAGGCTGAACCAGCAATCAGAATATAAATAAGACCTGCTAAATAAATGCAAGCCAGTCAAATCCTCATAACATTGACATAAAAGCTCTCCATACATCCCACTTATCCCTTGTGTAACCACAACCCAGATTATCACATTCACATTCACATATCACCCACCCCCCAACAACGGCCTCCTCTCATCCTCCCTTCCATCACCACCACCACAACCATCACCAGCCCTCCTCCCCCCTCCCGCCCCCTCCTCATCCTCTCCTCCAAGTATAGTACCACCCCCATCCCTCCCCCTCCTACCACCCCACCGCGAAAACACCACACCCCCCCAATTCCCATTCCCAAACACAACCGGTAACCCCTTCCACCCACCCCTCCTCCGTACCCCCCTACCAACCCAAACCCCCAAAGCAATCAACCCTAGCACAGCCAACGTACCCAGTACCCCCACCACGCCCGTAAGAAACGTAGTCGTGCTCACATGGCACCCGAAGGGTATTGCGCGGAGTTCCCACCGCTCTTTGGACCCGAGCGGGCAGATCTGCGATGAGTGTAGCGGGGAGAGAATAGGTAGGAGGGATGGGTTGGGGACGCAGGTTGAGGACTGCATTTATTTTGTCTTTTGTAAGTGGTTCAGTTTGGGGGAAGAGGATAATGATGGACTTACCACTGCGCACCAACTACAGGGTACATCGCCTTTCAGGCAGGTATTGCATGATTGTCGCCGCCAGCAGAGGTAGAAGAGGGGGTCGGTGAAGCTGGAGGTGGAGGTGAAGCTGGAGGTGTTTGTTATTTGGTCCATTTGGTTTTTGGGGATGATGGTTTGTAGGATGGATGGATGGATGGATGGAATGGGTCGAACATGAAAGAGATTGTTAGTATTTCTTATCGCATGATGGAATGTGATGTGATGGCATGATGGTCCTGTCGTCAGGATTGTTTTGTTTGGGTGATGGGCTCGTGCGGGGTTTTTTCTGTTCCTGGGGTGGTGGTACATTGGTAGTAGTAGTAGTACTACTACTACTACTATCTAGTAAGAGGCCCGTTCGGAGGATCCCTGCTTTGTTGCTGCTACTACTGATAATGCAGACTTTGTTTCGCTTGTGATAAGGCTATCGGGTTTATGTTGTGGGGATGGGGTTAAAGGAATCTAATGCTGCGCTAGTTCACTTTTGGTTGTATACATGCTTCGTACATTTAGATAGTATATCCCAAGGTAATAAGAATCATCCAGATGATTTTATTTGTTCAATTGGGATTGGAAGGAAAAGGGGGAAAGGTTCCATAATTTCAGTTATAAGAAGAATGTCAAGGGTATACTATAATGCCCTTTACAATTATCACGCTCGTAAGATAATCACTCTAGACAACACGCTTGACCTGTTCGTCGTTCTATTGTTAGCCTTATTCACCTGACCACAAAAGGAGGGATGGGCTGACCTCGAAGAATCTCTTGAGCCACCACACCTGGAAAATACCCTCTCCGATCAGCACAGCCAGCTGGAAGATACTCCACCACTTCACACGGGCGTTGGTGCTCTCGGCCGTGTTCCGGTGAACCCGCTCTCTCACAACAATGTACGACTGCTCATCCTTAACCTGTGCCAGGGCCTCCGAGAGCTTGCGGACTGTGGTGAGGAATCAATAGCGGTTAGCTCATACGGTCGCCGAAGACTTGTATAGACGATATCGGGGTGTTGCAATCCTACCTTCCGCCTCCAAGGGATCCTGCGCCAATTCCGATTCGGGGACGTAGACAATTCCGTGAACGTTGAAAGAGACTTCCTTGGAGTTCGAGGCCCATCCTTCGTTGCTGAAGCAGTAGACGTATTTGCCGTCCGAGTGCGCGTTGAACGAGTAATCCTCCGACGAGATGGCGTGCTTGTAGTATTGACGGTTACCAAGGGGGTCCTCGACCTGTTGATTTCAATCACATGTTAGTGACTATATCCTCAAAGTAGTTTCGTGTCCTTGCAAGCTCGATTGTATATCAAAACATCCCAAAAGGGACCCGCGCGGAGATTGACAACTCGTATGCTGCTCAGGGCACCTACCCAGAAGTCGATCTCCAGATTGCCACTGCCTCCGAATTCCCGGTCTCCGACCTGGAAGGAGACAGTCATCTTGTCATCCTTGTGCAAGGACTCGTGGAAGCATTCGCGGGAGTGAGCCCGGAGCTGGATGTTGTGTGCGGTCACCGTGGTGAACCACGCCAGCGCCGTGATCAGGAGAGTCGTCGCGGAGAATCGCATGATGGGTAGGGTAATTCGCTTTTGATGACTCCAAATCCGGTAATAGGTTGGTGGAGTTCTCCTCGAGAAAGATCCAGGTGAGGTGGTGGTGGTCGGGCTTGCTAGGTGTGCTTCGACTCCCGACGGGCAAGGTGGTCTCTGTGCTGCGCTGGGAATTCTGGACGCTCGGACCACCACCAGATCACCCGGCACTAACTGGACTAGTCCTGGCAGGGTTCGGAGTCTAGAAGGGCGCGATGCTTCTTTTTACTATGTACTTCGACTCTCTCTTATCAACCGTATCTAGAGTTCAATCATTCCTTTTTGTCTTGATCTGATAACATTTGAATTTAGGAGTTCAGTGGCGGCCTAAGGGTATACCACGGACATCCTGAGGGCTAATTGGCCTCTACAGACATACATACATTGCTTCAGTGCGTCCGTGAACGCTGAGAACTAGAGGCATCATAAAAGAGCCTGAGGAATCATGAACGATCCATGGCCAGGTGTACGAGGCATACTCACGTTCTCCCTCATTGTGTCGTTTCTTGCTTTTATTGAATGACTGCCTCCTAAAGATCGCAAATGGACACCCTTTCGGTCTTTAAATATTTGACGAAGCACAGTGAGCCAACATTGACTGCGCCGGACCTCTCGATGTTTGTTTGCTCGTATATAGTACCCGAAACCGACGACTTAAGTATAATGGGCTCACAGTTCCCAGCTTGTGGTACCCGCAGGTTCCTCCAGAGTAATAGCAAGATACTGCCTCAACCCGGATGAAGGGAGGACAATCAAGTAAGCGGTCTAGATCAAGACAATTCGCGGGATTCAACCTTGGTAATAGACGCGCCACTGCGATGAGTAAGGAAGCTTCTCTTTGGTAACAATGATGGATCAGGAAGTGGGAGAACGAATATTTGCGGGATTTTTCTTAGCAGCAACAATAATGGTCTTTCACCCACCTGTTCTTGAGTGAACCGTGGCTCATATTTCCAGGGTTCATGGCCGGTGTACGCGTTATAGGGCCCTCTTAGTGACATCATCTGTGGTCTGAACTCCTGGTGATTGATTGATGGTGGCCAAGAGATGATCTCTCATAAAATTTATTGATGGAAGTGGGGAGGGATTCGAGAAGACGAGATCGCCAGACATGGGAAGTTCGCCTCACATTATTATAGTTGGGGGATGAAACCGGAACGGAGGCCAATCTCGCAGAATTTGAGTGGGGAGCTTTATTCTCTCTGCTTCTTCCTAACGATACTAGTGTTTCGATTCTGGCTGTGGTATAGCCAAAATTAAATCGGCGAGATAGTGCGTATTAACATGCCCAGAAAAACTGTGTGATCAGTAATAATTCTGCAGTGAAGGGAGCAAAGAAGAACAAGCAGAAGTGATTTGGGGCGGTAATGGGCTGTGAGAGGCCCAAGGGTCCAGACCCTGGCGCCTGCAGTGGAGATCTTAGCCGGAGACCCCGGAATGGCAGGGGTGGATAAAGGACCCCATTAACATCCAGTGTATCTCGATTATTCCACTGGGCGCCTTCTGGCTAACGTCCCTGGCTTAGCCACTGTAGATGGACCCTTCAAGAGTTTGGTCACTCCAACAATGGTCTCTTCCGGCGATTGAATCCCTGGCTGTGAAGCGCCAGTTCCCTTCTTCCCTCAATTGACTTTCGGAGTTGTCCCACTGGGAGGCGAGTCTAGCTATTCATTCATTGTCTCGTAGGCCACAGCCGGGCTCCCCATTTGGAGGTACCCTGTACTGTACAAGTAAGTATGACTCCACAGTCTTTCTGAGTTCTGACGTTTTGCCGTGCAACTCCTTCTATTCTTATTTAAATCCTGCCAATCCTTCCTCTCTTGTTCATTCTATTTCGGTCGCTTGCATATAGCCAGGAACGAGCCATCCTTTTACAGAGCTTCCCCTTTTCTTCACTCTCCTTCGAAAGAAGCCGAAACTCAGGTTCTTGACTTCCCACACTCTCTTCATATACCCTATCCTTCCCTAGGCAGCTGCTCTTGCTACTTCATCAATCGGTATACATCGCTCGAAACCTGTCACTGAAATAACCGCGCCTTTCAGCATGCGTGTCTCTACTAGCTTGCTTCCTGCCCTTTTGGCAGCAATCCCTGCTGTGTCCGCTAGTGGCACCCTGGGTCTCGCCATAGGTGATAAGAACAGTGATTCCAGCTGTAAATCTACGAGTGATTACGAAGCCGACTTTGATGCGCTCAAAAGTGTGACGAATATAGTCCGCACATACTCAGCCAGTGACTGCAATCTTGCTCAGAATATCGTGCCCGCTGCAAAGGCCAAGGGATTCAAAGTTGTTTTGGGAGTCTGGTACCGCATTGTCATCAATTGAATCGTTTACATGGACTCCGTGAAGCTAACTTCTGGTGTGTTCTAGGGCGGATTACGACCAGTCTTTTGACCAGGACTTCAACGCCCTGAAGCAGGTCGTCCCTGGGAATGAAGATGTTGTGTCTGCCATTACCGTGGGCTCTGAGGTTCTCTACCGCGGAAGTCTCACTGCGCAGGCACTCCTGAGCAAAATCCAACAAGTGCAGAACCAGTTTCCCTCGGTCACCGTTGGCACCGTTGACAGCTGGAACAAATTCGCGGATGGCACAGCTGATCCCATCATCCAAGGAGGTGTCACTTACCTGTAAGCCTTCCTTTCCCGATCATGTCGTATTGCGAGTCTCAGTTAACGATGATGATTTAGTTTGGCCAATGGATTCGCCTACTGGCAGGATGTAGACATCAACAATGCTCCCGCTACCTACTTCTATGACATATCGGAGGCCGAGAAGCATATCAAGCAGGTTGCCGGAGCTAATGCGGGCAATATCCGCTTTGGAAATGGAGAAACTGGTTGGCCCACCGGTAAGATAAATAAACAACATCCCTCAACGCCTAAGCAGAGGTGCAGATGAACTGATGAATTGCTTTTCCTAGACGGTGGATCCGATTATGGTGCTGCTAAAGCTGGTACTCAGAATGCTGCACAGTATTACAAATCAGCGGTATGCCCCATGCTGCGAAATGGAACCGACGTCTTCTATTTCGAGGCCTTCGACGAGGAGTGGAAGCCCAACAGCGTGGGTGACAATGGCCAGTCCATGGACGAGAAACACTGGGGACTCTTCACCGCCGACCGCCAGCTCAAGTTCGACGTGACCTGTTGAAATCCGAACTAGAATCAGTCTGATGCTGCACCTTCAAAAGTCTGACGCACAGTGACTTGATCTGTTAAATATGTATCTACTATTTCTCGGACAGCTTTTGCTGTACTGTATGTATATGTATCGAATCCATGTTGAACATCGAGGCAAGTCTCCTAAATCTTGGGAGGATTTCATTAGTAGTAGTTGATTCGGCTTGTAGAAATCCCGCTACAGAGATACGGAGTGGCAGTTGGATTTGCAACTAGACATCATGCAGTAGTCAGATACCGGGAAGGAAGATGCGACGGCTATCAAGACGAAACGGACAGACATTTGATGAGACGTTTAGATAGAAAAATTAGAAGTGGTGGCTGTCGCGCATGGGGCTTCAAGTGTCATGGCAGTCTGACACCAATGACATGGCTGGGCACAATTGGAAGATCCCCAATTGGGAAAGTTGTTAGCTAAGTCACGGGCAACCGAGGGAACCGTGGTTCGGTTGAAGTAGCCGTTGTTTTACCCCTGAATGCAGACACGAACCACAGGAACCCACGCGTCAACCAAGTGATTGTTATCTATTGGGGGAGAGAAGCACTGGTTCAGGGGGGAACAAGAATGGAGAATGCACAAATCTGGGGGGTGACATCCGGTCGGGTATCCATCTAATATCTTTATTGTCAAAGGCTGGAGGGAGTGGTTGCCATATTCCACAGGCAGGCTGGGGAGAGAGAGAGCAGCGAGAGAAGATCCATCAACCTGCAGGCTGCCAGACAGAGAGGGTCTTTCCAGACGGATACTACTGTTTTGCTCCCAAACTCAAGGACTCCCCGCGCCTTGCAGAGCATAGAGTTGATACCCACTGACTCGCATGAGTTTTGGGTAAGGTTGGTACCTACAGACAGCCGGGCACCACGTACGTAGATGGCGGTCAGAGATGAAGATCGGGTTGAGCTGGCCAGCTTGAGGCACTATGCCAGGCTAAGGACCACCACTATCCCCAATTCATGCTTAACCGGGTTCACTAGTCGTCCAACTAAGGCCAAAACTTGAAGGTCGTGAGGCCAGAATCCGCTCCCAATGCGGATATCTGGTTACCATACCATTACTTCTTCCCCAACGGTCGCCCTCGCAGCTCTCCACTGTCTGATTAGGTAGTTTAGCGTTAAGTTTTTGTTATTTTCACGCGCCTGTGCAGCTTTGAAAGTAAAAAAAAACGGACTTGCTTGCTGGCGGATCGTGACATGGCCCCAGACTGATTCGATCCAACTCCAAGGAAAAGAAAAAAAAAAAAAAAAAAAAAAAGTTGCTAAAAAGCAAAAGAAAAAAAATTCGTACAGGAAAAAATTAAGGTCCGCCTCTCAATTACTTACTCTCTGATTACTACCACCACCACCACTACCACTTTCATCCACTATCACTAGTCGCAACGCTTGATCCTTGTCTTCTTCCAACTTCAATCCAGTTGTCCTTTGTGGATGCGCCATGCCCAAGTTTCTCGCATACCTTAGGTATCTGTGATCTGTTGTTCATCCATTCGCTTTCTCTCTCAATCTCAATCTCTCTCTCTCTCTCTCTCCCTCTCTCTCTTTCTGTCCTTGATCCGTCGCCCGCAAGCCGCGGATGTCTGTTTGGGGATCTTCTTTCGGAACTACCCACCGCCCCTGAAGATTATTCCTCCCCCTCCACCCTCCCTCCCCCCCAAATTCCACGGTGTTATAGGTACCACTCACTGGTCGCATTTTCTCCCCCCAATCGCGCTCTCGTCCAAGCGTGTGATTTGTCTCGTCCCTCCCCCTCCTTTCGTGTGTCGATCACAGCTCATCGGCGAGGTGGATTCGGTCTCAGCGCTTTGATTTCCATGCTTCAACATTCTGGACGATAAGGGGAGCAGCAAGCAAGTGCTTGCTGCAGGAGTCGAAACGGAAGGTGTGTCTGCCTGTCGAAGTGTTACCTTGGCTGCATCAATCCCACATTTTCCAATTCATCTTCTCTCCCCCCCAAATCCACCTCCCTATGGCGGTGTCTCCTGCCAGTCATCTTCCTCGTTCCCGTCACACCTCCAATCTAGTAGTCCAAAGGCTAATCGTATCTCGATGCTGTTGTACGTTTAGATCTAGGTCCCTCCGCATCTTCCGCCAACTCGGCGCTTTCGCCGCAGCACCCTACAGATCCGTCCGTCCTCCGTGACGATTCCCTGCTGACGGTGCCATTGACTTCCATTTCCGCAACGCCAGGAGCGTCGAGTCTCTCGGCCGCTGGATCACCTGGCCGGTCGAGCTCCCCACGGGGCCGCAGCGTCACCCCGAATCCCCCGAATACTATTCCTACTTTCTCCACATACCGGGCCGCCTGGGATTCGTCAACCTCGCCGGAGAACCGAAGAGCGGAAAGTAGTATCTACTATACCACCGCCTGGGGCTCACCGTATGCTGCACCAAGTCCTCGAAGACTGTCGTGGTCACTGAGTCAAGCCGGACCTGTCGATCGTGATTCCGGAAATAGCTCTCCGGTATCGATGCGCAGTGGCATCCGTAACGGTTCCGAATCGAACAATCCCGAGCTCTTAAGACCGTCTGCCCGGGACAGCTCAGCGAGACAACTGTACAGCGGTAATTCCAGCCGGTCTCCAGCCCGAGACATTTTTGGTAGGAAAGGTGGGAAGTCGATAAAGGACTTTACGCAAGATTGGATTAATCAATACCTCACCGGTCAGCCCAGAACCGAACGAAGCAATTGGTTGAGCGACGATTCGGGTAGTGAGGCACCTTCGTTTATTACGGCACAAAACTATTTCGCAGAGGACGCATCGGACGATTGGCTTGGCCTGGAACAAGATCCTCGCGACGAGGACCTCCTGAAGACTCCCACCCTCGCTGACTTCGTAAATCGAAGAGCAGCTCGCCGGGAAGGCAGTCTCCCACGCCAACGGACGAGAGATTATCTTCACAAGCGAGCAGATACACTTCGACAGGAGGACTTTTGGGGTTTCGCATACGATAAAGACCCTCAGCCGATCACAATGGATTCAACAGAAGCACAGTCCCTTGTGGAACAGGGGCCCAACAAGGCACTTCCTACGATAGAAAAGCCGCTTCCTCCCACCCCGACAGACCCTTCCCTTACGGACCGACTTGATACTCCTACCGAGCCGAAAGCCGTGAAAAGCCCAGCGCTCGACAGGAACAGCCAAACGCCGACACAACGAGTGAGGAAGAAGATCGTTTGGCGTGGGAAAGCATGCTTCATCTCGCTGCCATGTGACGACAAAAGAGGCACAAAGGACTCTGGATACCGTTTGTTGACGGTGGAAGATGTCAAACAACGGTTGAGAGACTGGGAAGAACAGGGATACGACACCCGTGGATTCAGCGTCGGATCGGAGGATGTGTTTGATACTGAGTTGGGCGGCCTCAGTCGTCCGCTTTTCCCAGACCCGGCAGAGGTCCAGGAGGAAAGACAGGACGGGAGGTATGGGGTCAGCATTCCTGACAAAGCAGAGTGGGATGCATATGTTGCGTATCTTCAGGAAGAGAAATTGCGTGCCCTGGGTGTGTTTTTGGATGAACCGAAACCTTCAATATCCCCGGCCTCCGCTACTATGAGCCAGATGGCCCCCTTCCCCGGTCTTGTATCGTCGCCACCGATCCCGACAGGGTCAGCAGCTAGCAATCCTTTATCTTTGTCTCATCATTTCTCTCCGCAGCTGGGCCAGCCAGCAAACCCCGCCGGTCTGGGGACTCTGGCTTCCCCGGCTTCGCAGTTCAGCATTCAGACGCCATTCCTCGGGGTCGACCAAAACAACCTACTTCCTGGATACCCTATGCAATTTCAACCTACTCCTCCTGCTCAGGGCTCGCTCACTCCTCAGAGTTTCTTTAATGCGCGGCAAGCAGGTCCCGCCGCATCCATTCCTGGAACGCTTCCTCACTTGGGCTCGATTTTGTCTCCCGTGTCACCATTGAACGAGCAGGGTGCCTTCCACCCTGGCTTGAACGAACAGCCAGGCCTACCGAAGGAGGCTTACGGTGGTCATGAGCTGCAGGATCACGTCACTGAAGGCCAGCTGCTACGTCCCATTCGCACCCCAACGGAGGGACCTGATCACTTCCACGCCTCTACTGTTGAGATCGCGCAGCCTACCCCTCGTGGCCACGACCGTGGTCATAATCTGAGCGAAACGCTACAGAAGGGCCTGGACAGAATCCCGCCTAGCTATCATCTGGAGGAAACTATTGACCGGCAGCTTGATGAAGGTGATCGTGAGCCGGCTCTTCACAATTTCGATGGTTCTGAGCTCCTGCAATCTCGTTGGGCTTTCCCAGGGGCGGACGCTCTTGCATCCCAACAATATCCTCAGCACATGCACCAGTTCTACGGCGGCGATTACGCAGCAGGTAACGTCCATGATGGCTCGGATATCGATACAAACCCGAGTCTTTCTGGAACGCCTCAGCGACATGGTCCGCTTGCGAATAACATACCGTGGCATGAGCCGAAGCCCAGTGCTGGCTCATATACAGGCGGACACCGTTCCAAGCTTTCGTCCTCTACTTTCAACGTCGATGCGAAGGAGTTCAACCCAACTGCCTCAATCCCATCACAGCAATTTCCCTTCCAAGAAAACGCCTTCCAACCCTCGGCTGTTGGAAACCCCATGTTCACATTTGGCTCTGTGCCCAACTTCAATCCCTCCGCTAGCGCTTTCAACCTTACCGCACCCCCCTTCACGCCCAGTGCTGCTGCCAACGATACGACCACACAAGACACTGGCTCCAGCGAGTTTAAGTTTTCGACCGCTTCTCTCAATGTCGCGGCTCCTGCTTTCAACCCTACTGGAAGTGGCTTCGCTACGAATTCTGAGGAAACTGCAAATGGCAGGACCAAAATATTTGACGATGTTGATGTCTCGGAGGCATCAAAGGCCTCCAAGAAGTCCAAGGCCATTCCCATCGTGCGGCCGGATGAGACCGCGGAGGACAAGAGCAGTAAAGAGGAGGCCGAAAACGACAACGGACGCCCAGTCCGCACTGACCGCCATAAGCGTGCACGTCGCGGCGATGAAGCATCGGATGGAGAGGCCCAGTTCAGCATGTCGCACGCATTGGCAGAGTCTGGTAACGTTCAACAATCGCAAGTGTCTAGCGCACACGGTGTGCCCGCTGAAGGCAAAGAAAACGTACAGCCAGAAGGTGGAGACAGCAATGAAGCAATTCAGAAGCCTGTCTCGATTCAGGATGACAAGTTCGCCGAAAGGAAAGATACCCCCATTAGTGAAGCGTCGACCTGGACACCGTTTGATAAGAAGAACGAGAGTACGGAAGCAGTCCAGGAGTCAGGACCGGCTACCGACATACAGCCTAAGTCAGAGTCGGTATCCGCCGAAGGAGGAAATGCTGGCAACAAAGAGCAGGAAGGGTCTACCGAAGATAACCAGAAGCACGCTTTCCTGTCACCCACTGCGAAGCCCTTCCAGTTCAAAGCCTCTGTTCCCGAATATGTGCCGGCTACTGCTGGGGAACCGACGCCTGCCCCCAAACCGGTGGATGATGGGAAGAGCGATGCCACCTCCAAAGCTCCGGTTTCACCTAAGCGTGAGCCTATGCTATCTGAAGCCCACGCTGATGAGGCCGAGGACTCGCCTGACGATGAGGAGCTTAATGCTATCATGGAGCAGTTGAATGATGATTCGGATGTTGGAATTGAACGTCTGAGCACGCCTCAACCTCGTGATCGCATTCCCGAGTCTGCCCTGCATCCGTCTAAAGAAAAGCGACACGCTCCTGCCGACATCAGGAGCGAAGCTCCTAGCCCGAGCCCTGGACGTGGCCTGATGGCCAACACCTTGAATGTACCTAAGCTCGACTTCGATGCTCAATCTCAATTCTCTGTCTCCCCCTCCAAGGGAGTCGGTTCTGGCATTCCTTCTCCTGTGCGGCATCTGGTCAACCAGAATGATCACATCAGTGACTGGGACGATGTGATCTCATCTGGTGAGGATGAGAAGCTGGCAAACCGGAGCAGATTCTTTGACCGTCGGATCAACGACCTCGTCGGCTCTGCCATCGATGAACGACTAACGCCGCTTGAGCGTGCGCTTGGTGTTATTCAAGAGTCTGTCATGTCTATCGCACCCGGCCCTCGCACCAAGTTGGAGTGGAGCGCATCTGTTGAGGGTGACAATAGCGACGCTGATGATGAGGATGATGTATATGAGAACGCGTCATACAGTACCAGGTCGTACCTCCGCCAGAAGGAGAAACTTGACAAGCTGAAGACTGTCTTCTTGGAGGCACTCGCATCTCGCGATAGTGAGCAAGGGAGGGACCAAACAGTTTCCGAGCTCGTACAGCTTCGTGAAAGCGTCTCTGCTCTTCAGGCTTTGACCGTACAGAAGCTGTCGCAAGATCCTGTGGACGAGATGAGAACAATGATCCAAGACATGGTCTCAAACCAACTGAGCCAGCAGAACTCGCGACCCTCTGAAGCAGAGGAGATCGGTGCTGAAAGCCTTATGCTCCAAATCGATGGTCTCAAGAATATGCTTAGGCTCTCTGATGAGCGGGCCGATCAGGAGTACAAGCTTCGGCGAGAGGCTATGGACTCTGTTGCGGAACTCCAGCGGCTTCTGAAGGTCGCCGAGGAGGATGCTGCACGCCATAGTGAAGCTGCCGAGGACGCCGAGTCCCGCTTGCTCCACTTCAAGGCTGAAAAGATTCCTTATTTCGAGAACATCCAGCATAAAGCCGACTCTCTTGAGAAAGAGCAAGAGACACTCCAGTTCACTCTTGCTGAGCTCTCCTCCAAGAACATCGCACTTCAGGGCACCCTGGATGAGTACCGCGTTTCGAGCGACAACTGGAAACGCGATAGCGAGGAGTCTAGGGCTGAACTTGAGCAGGTCAAGGCGGATAACAAGGAACTACGGGGTACAATTGGCCAGTTGAAGACGCGCTTGGAGGATGGCTTGAGTATCCGACACAATCTCGGCGAGAAGCTTGATCGTCTTCAGGATGAGATGGTAACCGTGACTCGTGACGTTACCCGTGACCAGGCTTCTTGGCGCAGACGCGAGGAAAAATTAAACGCCAAATACAATGAGCTTCGTGCAGCCTATGGTCGGGAGGTGAAGCTCCGTGAAAAGCTCGAGGAGGATATTAATGAGCTTGAAGCACAGGAGCGCGAGGCAGCCAAGTTGAAGTTCATCTTTGGCCAGTCTCAGCAGGAGAATGCCAGGCTCGAAGAGCTCGTCGCAAATCTGCGGCTCGAAAACCATGATCTAGAGCTTAAGGCGGCTCGCTTTGAGCGGGAGTTCCATGAGGCTCGTGAGAGCAGTCGCGTTGAGATTCAACGTACTAGGAACTCGCTAGAGTCGGATCTGGATGCTGCTAACAGCCAGGTTAACATTGTCCGTGCTGAGTTGGAAACACAAATCCTTCGCCTCCAGAGTCAAATGGACAACGTCAGAATGGAAAGTGACACTGCCCGGGAGCGCTACGAGATGCTGTTGGAAGAAGCCAATGAAACCAGGGCCAACAATCTGGCTGCTGCTGTCCAAGCTAAGGAACTGGCGGTGGAAGAACAACGGCAGACGCACGAACGGGTGCTCAATGACCTTCGAGAACGCCATGCGCGTGCGCTGCACAATGCTTCTGAAGATCGACAGCGCACGGAATCCCATCTGCTCGACCGCCTGGCTTTGTCCGATGACAAGGTGAAGCACTTGGAGGATCGGGTTCATCATCTCGAGGAGAGGCTCGAAATTGCACAGTCCGCTGCCCGTGCTGCTGCCGAGGCCGCTCAATCTGCCAAGGCAGCGCCTGCGATGGCACCTGCGCACTCGAACTCGCCTTCATTGGCATTCCGTGAGGGATCCACCATGCCTGAGAAGATCTCGCCTCAAGCCTTGAGGGAGTCAATCTTGGTACTTCAGGATCAGTTGCAGCAGCGTGAAACTCGCATCGAAGAGCTGGAACAAGAAGTGGCTGCCGTTGACAAGGACGCCCCAAACAAGATCAAAGACAAGGACACAGAAATCAATTGGCTGCGTGAACTCCTGGGTGTTCGCATTGATGACCTCCAGGACATCATCACCACTGTGTCGCAACCTTCCTTCGACCGCAATGCTGTCCGCGATGCCGCTATCCGTCTGAAGGCCAATTTGCAGATGCAGCAACAGGAAAGAGAAAGAATCCATTCCGGACACAGTTTTCCTAGCCTCTCCTCCTTGGCAGAGTTGACTGCGTCACCGCGGAATCTTCCTCTCGCAGCTGCAGCGGCATGGGGCAACTGGCGTAAGGGAAGAGATACTTCCAATTCACATGTTTCCGAACAGACGCCGTCGAAGTCCGGAAATGCAAGCTCCTTCTTGTCAGGCCTCTTGACTCCTCCGGCCTCCAGTGTTCGACAGGCTTCACCCCAGGCCGTTGGTACTTCCGCGACGATGGGTTCCAGGCGTCCATCGGCGAGTCGGCCTCTAAGGAATTACGACACGACGCCCAAGGCCGCTCCAGCTCGTGGAAGCAGGATGCGAGAGCCGCCGAGTACGCCTCCGTTGCTCCGTAGGTCAAGTTACGATCACGATGCGGAGCCTGCTGATTATGCCCACGACTCCTTTGGAGAGGACGCGGAAAGCACAGCGGATGGTTTAGTCTCGGAATCACCTCGGGACACGGCAGACGGGCCATTTGGACCGCAAATACAAGCATAAACTGTCTATACACCATTTTCTCATTCATGTCCATAGACATTTGAATTTTCGGTTGTCTCAAGTTGTCTCAATACGGAGATGACTGATACTGTTACATTATGATGCATTTCCCCCTCTTCTACCTACATCGACCTCTCTTTTGATATTGCATACTTCGTGCCAGTTGACATGTTCATTTGCTGATTGTTTGGTTTGAGCAAGTTCATTGATATTTCCCCCTCCCCATACTTTTGCTCAACGGCAGTGGATTTATGATATTCTTTCCTTCGTTAATATACCATATCACCATTCTTCCTGCGTCCTACTGGATACCACACCTGTTGAAATGTACTTTTGCCGCAAATCTGTACACAAGTTTCTGCATTTTTTGTGCTATTTTATTTTTTTTTTCCTGTCTAAATAATTCCAACGTGTCACTCGTTTGTGGTTCCTTGCATGCATCCGCAGACTATTATTATCTCATAATGGTGTCTGTGTGTGTGGATTCCCTTCTGGGAGATAGATGCATGCACCATTTGCAGGAGGACTCAGACCCTTACTTCACTTACATCATCATTCTTTTTTCATTTTTACCCCCTTGCTGTTGGCTACTATTCTAGTCAACGGTGTATCATGTAGATACCCTTCTTATTCTATTCACTTCTTGATTGGACATGTCTAATAGTATATATGCTTATCTTTTCTATTCCATTTTCACCCTTCAGATTACACAACTTGTTCTTAGATACATACATACATGCATAGATGCATAATACATAATCCCACCAGTTCTAACCTCTTAAAATAGTAAACTCTCCCCTCCCCAGGTAGTAATCAAGCGGTAGATAGATAGATAGACATACAGACAGATAATCAATGAATCCTCCACTCCAAAACATCCCTCCCCGCTAACGCCATCACCTCATAATACCCACCATTACCATCACCAACGACCTTACTAACTCTCAACTCATCCACATCCACAGATACATTATCCAACAAGAATGACCAAGGCAGGATATTATTCCCCTCCTCCAATGGAAGACAAACAGAAGAATGTTGTTTCACTTGTCGTTGGTCTGTATCCATAGCAGAAGAAGCATTGATCTTAGTGTGGCTGGTATACACGGACCCACGCTCCTCAATGCAGTATACGTATATCCCACCCCTACCTACTTCCTTAGGGGAAGGATCAGGTTCGTAGATAGCTAGGAGCTTATTGTCTGGGGAGATGGAGAGGAGGGGGGATTTGGAGGATGCGGTGGGGAGGTTGAGGGGGTTCCAGCGGGGGATTTCCGTTGTAGAATCTTGAGAGGATGGAGGTGTTGTAGTTGACTCGGTAGCTGGATCTGAGGTGGTGGTGTGGTGGTGATGTTGGCGGAAAGGGAGGAGACGGGTGATGGTTACTTGTTGAGAGGTGGGAGGGGAGGAGGAGATGGCGATGTGGCCGATGCAGTAGGCGGATGTGGGGCCTGATTGGAGGGATGCGGTGAAGTAGTGTGATGATGTTAATGATGGCTGTGATGATTGGTTCTGAGGTAGTATTGTTGTGGTCGGGTTGTAAGAAGATGGAAGAAGGCGCAAGCCTCGAAGGAGGACTTTTTCTTCGCCTGCGCCTAGAGTCACGGCCATGGAGGCGGAGTCGATGTGGATGTGGTGGATGTTTTCGCGCCAGTATTGGAGGGGGGTGTGAGTTTGAGTCTGATGGTGGTGTTGGAGGGCGGAGGGATTACCCACGTAGCGCACGCGATTCGGTTGGAAGGTTGTTGTGTCTTGGTGGATTGCGATGCGGAGGAGAGTGTCGTCGTCGGTGAATTCGAGGGAGTCGATGACTCCGTCGGTTTCTTCGTAGCCTGTGCTTGGGGAGGCTGCGTAGATGACGTCGTGCTGGTCCAGGGTGTATTCTGCTGGGGAGGAGATGCCGTTTTCCTCGTTCCCTGAGAGGCTGTAGATTTGGAGGGTCTTGCCTAGGCCGACGGCGAGGAGGTCGCCTTGGGAGGAGATGGCGATGCAGTGTTTGGCGTAGCGTGGGTTGAGAGCCATGCCGCTGCCTGCGCTGCCTCCGTCCATCAGGGCTCGGTATACTGAGGTCCAGAGGGGGTAGAGTGTTGAGGCTTGGGTATATTCCCAGGGAGAATGTTTGTTCGGACGGGTGAAGATGGTGGTGCGCGCGCCTTTCAGTGTGGCCATTTTTTGACCGTCTTGGGATGTTGCTAGTACTGTGGTAGGGGTGCAGTCCTCAGGTAGGGCACGTCTGGAGGCGGTTTTGTCGATGTGGGTCCGGTGGCCTAGTAGGTTCAGGCAGGCGATTTGGCAGAAGTATGCATTCCATTCTTCGTTTGTGAGAGGATCAGCACGTGGGGGGATTGGCACGGGGAGTTCGGTCAGTGCGTTCCGGATGGTAGATGACATTGTTGCTGCTTTTCGCCATGAGCAACATGCTGAGCGGGCAGCGACGTATGTCTCGATATCGACATGGTCGAGGATGCAGAGGATGAGCTCGATTGGGAGGTTGGCGGCCATAATTGAGTTGGTTGCAGAAATTGTGTGTAGCTAAATCTCATGTCTATCAGGTGACGGATGTCTGTAGACAGGAGACTATGTAGTATGGCTAGGAAGCTAGTGGGAGGCCAAATTTATACGGAAGAATGAGCGGCAATAAGTCAAGCTCCTGGCAGACCAGGCCCAGGGCCGGTCATACCGAATGGCGTGGATCGACATCCAGGGCTGTGAGGGCAACCAGCCTGCTCTTGTGTAACGTCAACAAATGCCAGTCGACGAGAGAAGCAATTACTGGTGCAAACTAGCGCGTCATGCTGGTGGATGTGCTGGTGGTGTATACCGCATGTGTCAAGAGATGGCGTGCGAGAAAGCCAATTATCGACTCGGCAATAGCCCCATAGGTTGAGACGGGCCGAGCGGAGCTAGGAAACCGAGATGGAATGCTGAACATTCCTTGCTCTCGAACAACCTTAAGGGCCGGCAATGACGGAGAGCAGCCCTGGATGCATCGCATCAGTGGCGTGATGTGATGCCGGTCTTCCATCGGATGATTCTCGGCGGTGGTCCTACCGCAATAAAGGTACCGGTTGCACCAAATGAATATCCTGATTGATCTGCAGACTCTCTTTTTTTCCAACTTCCCTTCAACCCGCGGATAACTGGAGTTGACACCTGTGTCACATTCATCTAATCTTTCCGCTTAATTCTCGTATACCTAGAGAAAGCCCTTTCTGTAGGGCCGGTGACAAATAATGTACAATATAGTAGTGAAATGCGCCGAGCGGAATGACCTAAAATCCCCAAAGCTTTAAGTGGAGAAAGAGGAATCTTCCACCGCGCAGTACAAGGTACTCGACACGGTGGGCATCAACTGCCTACTGGCACCAGCACTATAGAAAGGCGTCATCAACATCATTATTTAGGCTCCAGATCAGGCCTTGTGCTCATGACACCGGAAAATTCTCGGTCGGCGTCAGAAGCCTGTCATACCATGCCGGAAATGTGATGTGCGGGAACAGCCTGTTATCATCTGGAAGCCTGACAGCTGGTGTGGAGCCACCCATCCTTGCTAAAAGAAATAAGGCCGGAGGCAAATTCGGACCTAACGCAACCCAAAATAGACCTTCTGGTGAACCGCCAGCTCACAGCAAAATGTTCTTCTCCCGTTTATACAAATCCTTGAGGAGCTTGAGTTGGTTAACGCTCATGCTCTGCCGGGGCAAGCTGTCGGGCAATTCGACGATAGCCTTCCTCATCAGCGCCAGTCCGATATGCCCGAAGAAACCAACAATTCTTTCGGCCGACGATTTCAGCATAGCCGAAAGGAGGGTAACATGGGTATCCTGGATCTCTGCCGGCGGAATATTCAGGATTTTGTGCATGGTATACCAAAACATGGTGTTGGGGAAAGGGTTCTTGCGCGCGGTTTTGCCAAAATTGCGCAGGGTCAAGGCCGCATAACCCGCACCTAGAGCTGTCATTCGGTCGGCGTGGGCCTGTTCGCTGATGTACGGCCCGTCCGGCCCTTCGCGCCACCAACCCAGGGCACGTCGGCCACCCTCGGTCTTCTCACTGCCATGGAATCCCCACAGCGCTGGGCAGACGACACGGTACTTGGCCAATAGAATGTCGACCATGTGGCAGCCCTTGTAGATGAAGGCGTCGGCGGAGAATATCTGGGCCGCGACAATCCCGACCGGCTCCGCATGGCCCAGGTTGATGGACGCCTCCGTTATGAGGGAAGAAATCATGCACTTGGAGAAGATGTTCAAGGCGTAGATTAAAAGGGCAGGCACCTTGTTATCGTCGGAATTGGCAATATTCTCGGGCGGGAAAGCGATGAACTGGCGAACATCCACCGACGGTTCAGCAATGGAGGCAGCTTTCTCCAGCGTAGTTCGAATCTCTTGAAGCTATGTGGAAGTCAGCAAGGTTAGCTGGCTGTCTTCTTCTATCCATCAGACGCAAATCAAAACACTTACCTGGGTTTTGTTGGCTCCCTTGCCTTCACGTAGTTGTCCAACACACTTCTTGATCGTTCGCCGCATATCGCCCATGTTCTGCTTGACAATGGCATTGGTTTTCGCTTCGTTCTTCAAGTATTGCCGGAATTTCTTAAGATGTTGATGTAATTCCACGTAGCGGGCCTGGATCTTAATTTCTTCGTCCGTAAGACGGGCGCCTCCAACCTGCCGCTGTCGCTCCGCCTGTGCCTTCTGTGCGGCTTCCGCTTGGCGTTGGGAGGCCTCCTGCTCTGCCTTCCGTGTCTCCTCCTGACGCTTGCGGTTCTCTTCCTCTAATCGCTCTCGTTCTTTCCGCGCCTCTTCTTCCTGCGCCGCTTTCTTCTTCCTCTCTGCCTCTTCCTCCGCCTTCTTCTTTGCTTCCTCGGCTGCTCTGCGCTCAGCTTCACGCCGTGCAGCCTCCTCCTGCTCTCGCCGTAGTTTCTCTGCCTTCTCTCGTTCTATGCGTTCCGCTTCTTTCCGTGCCTCCTCCTCTTTTCGACGGAGCTCCTCCTCTACCGCTCTCTGGTGTGCGCGCAACGTCTCCTCGGCCTCCACCAGTACGCGATCATGCAGAGCGGCAGCTTTGTCAAGGGCCGCATTGTGCTGGGCCTCAAGTTCGCTATCGATTCGGTCAAGATTCTCATAAAAGGATCGGCGTTCGTAGGCTTTGACCTTCTTCAACTCGGTGTTGTGCACGCGGAGCTGTTCAAGGTCCCGTGCTAAATCCAGGACGAGTTGCCTGGAGGGGCTATCCATCTGGGAGGGGTAGCTCATGTGTCCCATCGTGATTGTTCGGAGAAGGAGATTCGTTGAGAGAATGATGATATCGTCGCAGCTAAAAGAGTGACGTATTCGGGCTGAAAAGATGACAGTCCTTGCCGCCGAGGTTGGCCAATTCTTCAGAAGCAAGTTAACACTTCCAACTGACCATAATTCGCATTGAACAAGTCGGAGTTATGTGACAGATATTTGCCAATGTAAGCCGGCGAGTTGACTTCACAATTTGTTGGGAGTCGTAGTGGACGTAACCATATCCTATTTCGCATACAATTGAGAGCCAGTAACGTGGGTGTAGCTGGCGACAAGCTAATGTCGCATTCCGTCGCAGGGGAAAAAAAGGTAAATCAAATGTGAGTCACGTAGAATTATCGTTGTCTGTGCTGGCTTTGCAGGGTCGCAAAAAGGCTAGTTCAGCAATTCCGCGCTTCACACGCAAGGGAAATAGTTGCATGGGAATTCCGGACTCACCAACAGTCGAAGAGCAGTAGGATAAAGGCGGCAATATAAGCCCGCAGACTCCGAGAAGCACTAACTGGATAGAAAAGACCTTAGGGAGTGTGATCAAACAGAAAAGGCAACTGTCGGAGGCGGTAGCGAGGGATTGGACTAAGAGGAGCCTATCTGGAAACGATGGCTGGTATGCGATCTTCAAAACGGAGCCCGAACGTGTGTTGCGGGAAGAACACGGCCGCCGGGGCTTAGTCATTCGGATAGCTGTAGCTACAGTTGTGTGCCTGAAAAACTAGGCGTCATAGTGCCGAACCCCCCAATGGGCCGGAGAGAAGCAGCGCTTACACAAGTACCACATTTACGGTACAACGGGGCAGCTACTGCACCAAACCGACCAGCTAAACATGGATCGCTCGGTCACCCGTTCCTCGGTCGGAGGGGAAAGCCTGGAGGCCGGTCAGCCCTTTCCCTTTGCATCATCATCATCATCATCGTCATCATCATTATGATCACCCAACAGTCATTGCCTCCAGGACAGGCTTGGACAAGAGTATCTGAGACATCGCTTAACTCATTTTCTCATTTTCCCTTCACTGACCGACATGTCAGTTCTCCTTAAACTTGGCCCTCAACACCTCCGTATTAATCTGTCTCTCACACCCCAATAGTATTTCGCCCACCTCGGCCAACCCTTTGATACACGGTCTCGACAAGAGCCCCGCCAAAAGCCGGCCGTGGATCCAATAGCGGGTCACTATTGGACCGGTCGCATCATCAAGGAGGGTATCGATACCATTTGCATACTTACGTATCATACCCTGCACCAACAGAGCCACTCAGTATCTATCTAGTATCTACTACTGCTATCTCCAGCACTGTACGGAGTAGAAATCTACTCTCTCAGGATTTATTGCCACCAGTGCCAGTTTCTTGCATATAGTAGATGTTGTGCACTTGCTTTCCCGATCGACTATGGACTTTTTCATACTTAGAATAGCATGCAGGTCGCCATCGAACGCCAATAGGCAGGCCAGGTGGGTATCGCATAGCAGAAAGTTTCCATACAGCGATCGTACACTAAGATAGTAAGTTGGTAAGTTACTCCAGTTACTTACTTAGTCGAGAAGCTCCACGGCGTCTTACCGCCTTCTACCTTTCTCCGGAGTTGATCTTCCAGCCAGCCGTTGACCACGCAGTTCGTCATTGACAATGCCGAAAGATTGAGGGGTGATCTTCATATGGTAAGGACCCAGGACATATTCAGGTCAGTTACTTCTTCCGTACGTCTGGAGACCAAGCGTCGGATTGATAAATGCGAAACAAAGCCTATTGAAAAGGTCTTGCAGTCGGACTGACAGGCTTGGGAGCCAAGCTGCAATGAAATTCCCCCGAGCCAGACCCTGTTGGTCTCCAAGTATGGTAACTTTGGTTTAGTGACAAGTTTAATGCACCATTTGCCTCGGATTGCTTTTTGCCTTGAAGCTCCCCTGGGGCGGGAAGTGTGTCATTCATTGACGATGTTGAATGATCAGGTCAGATTTGGGTAATACCATGTACTTGTAGCGATGCAATAGCAAGGGGATACCTTTCCAAGCGGCATTTGTCTAGTCGGTCTGGAAATTTTGTGCGGTATTTTCCCTGATGTTCTTCTGCTTCTCTCCCCACATCTCTAGTTAGTAGTTTACTCCTAGGTAGGTTGCTGCTATATTATTGTTGTACTTGGCTTCGTATTGGCTGAATGTCCATTTTGCTTTGGGCCTATTAATTGTGAGTATTATATTAGGTATTGTTTTTTATTTTACTTTCTGGGACTGAGTAAGTATTATTACCCTGCTACAAGCTACTAAGTTACTACTGGATGCTTGCTGCACTGCTGCTGCTGCTCACCACTCTCACTGCTGCTGCTGCTGCTACTAATAGTAGACTAACTCAACTTCTGTCTCTTGTCTCTCTCTCTCTCTCTCTCTCTCCCTCCACTTCCTCTTCCTCTTTACCTTCACCTCATCCTCTTTCTTCTCTCTTCCTTCCCCTCCCCTCTTCCCTTATCTCTTCTTCTTTCTTCACCATCCCTCTCCTTTGGAATAAATCTTTCTCTCCCCCCTCCCTCTTTCCTCTCGTCGCTCCTGATCATTCCTTCAGGTCGACGATCACGCCTCCTTGTCTCAATCACTTGGCTCATCTGTCATTCTCTCTCTGTCAGATATCGCTTTGCCTGGTGTGTCCTTTTTGGAAACTACCACGTTCAAGAGAATCGTATCAGTAATTCTCTGATGGGAGAAACTATTATTGTGTTCTCCTTTCCGTTTTTTTTCAGAATTAAGCGCCAACTCAATAAGCCTTTTTTTACAATTCAGGTCTGAGTTGCCCCCCCTTTTCTGCTACTGAGGAGACTCCGTTCTCTTCCGTACCATCAAAATCCCACTTCGGCCAAAAAAAGCCCACCCCATCGTTGGAAAATTTGCAAATAAAGTCGAACCAAAAAAATTATTCTGTCTATACCTGTCGAGAAATTCTACCCAGAAAAAACATTGCAGAAGGGAATCGAAAAAAAAAAGGTCCCTCCTTTTGACTTGAAGCTTGGGGATTCTCCGCTGGTGGTCGCTTGACGAATGGCAGTTGGGGACGACCGACAGCTCCCATCCGCTTAGTACTCGGTGCTTGCCCCCCCCCCCTCCCTCTTCCCTCCTAAACCTCAGCTTCCCCCCCGATTCGTCGAGCTTCATCCTCTCTTTCGGTCTCTGCTGTCTCCCGGAGACTGTCGCCAGTTCCTCCCTCCGGTGTCCATTCATCGCAATTTTGCTTTCTGTTTGAATATATTGCTTTGGCTTCCTTGAATTTGGGGTCCCTCATCCCCATTTCTGTGAGACTACCTTCGGTCACCGCTGTCTTTCGCCATATAAACGGGGATTTTCCCTCTCCCGTGCCAAAGAAGAAGTCCGACAAAGATTATCTTCAGATCCCTTCCTGAGCTGGACGATCGTTTATTCCTCGAAGAAAAGAGGTAAGAGCAATTGAAGATACACACCTTCCCATCCTCAATCTTCGTGGGTCTCCTGATCCTGGTACTCTCCCTATTGCCTCCCCGCCATTTGCCTCGCTTCCTTCCATTTTGTACCTTGGTTGATGTCACTTGTTGTATGGGGTAAATCGCAGCTTCCCTTGCCCACAACATTCCCCCTCCCGCTCTTCTTCCCGTAGCCACCCCCACGATGTCTTGAACCCCCCTCTTATCTTCTCCTCTTGTTCTCGACCCCTCGCTGCTTACTTTCTGTCCGTTTCACCCTTACTGACCTATCGTTCTCCTTCAGTATACTGCAAGTTCACCTCTCGTTGTTTCAGACTGCCTCCGATCGGCCTCCCTAAATCGCAACCCACGACGAGTGTGACTTCCGTCATTTCCAACATTCTCTAATCACCCCCGAAGCGGACCTTTTTGATCCCATACACTTGCCCGTATACCTAATACCCGTCGATCTTACGTCTGAAAAGATGGATCAGCAGGGTCAATCCGGGGTTCCCGGCCCCGCGGGGCGCAAGCTCCATATCGCCCACAGAAGAAGTCCGTCTGAATTGACCCCTCTCATGAGTAAGTGAATGCCAGCCCCATTCTCGTGTAACATAGTTTTTGTGAATGAAGTACTAACGATGGTGGATACAGTGGAGCAACTCGCTATTCAGCAACAGATTGAGCTTCTTCAACAGCAACAGCAGCAAATTGCAGCTACACATCAACAGTACGTCAATATGGGTCTGTTACAACCGCAACAGCTAGGCCAGGTTTCGGCATTCTCGCCTTCTCTTCAGGGTGGCGCTTCCATGGGAGGCGTCTCCCCTCAGTTGAATGCATTCCAATTCCCACAACTCGCTCAACAGCAGCTTGGCGTGCCGATGAACACCTCAACCCAACACTCGCACCGGCGCAATCAGTCTGCCCTGCCCGGTCTCGGCATGGGTCCCCCTCCTGCCCCGTCCTCGGGAGCTTCGGGCTATACCGACTACAGCCAGCAGCAACAGGGTCACCAACCTAAGAATGAGAATGGAGGCCATGGGCGCGGACGAGGTGGTCCTCCCGGTGGTGGCCACCAGCGCCGTCACTCGCTTGCGCTTCCTGAAGCCAAAAAGGCCGCTGAACTGGCCCAGCAGAAGCGGACGGCCTCCGGCTTCCAGTTCCCCGCACCCAGCACCCCTGGCGACTCTGATACCACTCCGGGCGCTGACGATAAATCCACCCCCACCTCGCAGACCCCACAAGGCTTGGGACTTCACCGAGCCGGTAACATTCGGGCGGGTGGTCATGGTCGCAGTCAATCCATGGCTGTTGGTGGAAACCGCGGTTCTTTGTCTGGTCGCGGTGCTGGCGGCTTCCAATTCCCTCAAGCTAGCGACGGCGAGAATCAACGTCGTGGCAGCCAGCCCGGTCACGCACGGTCTTCGTCCAGAAACTTTGATGGTAACTGGCGGCAGCCCAACAATCAAGCTCAGGGCCAGGACCAGCCCAAGAGCTTCGGCCAACAGAGCGGGGGTTTCCAGCCTGGCCACCGTGCCCGTGCTTCAATGAACCAGTCCATTGGCTCCATTGGATCTTTCCAGTACCCGCAACAGCCCCAGCTCATTCAGTTGCCCCAAGGTCAGGTGGTCATGGCCCCACCGCAGATGTTCGGCGGTGGTCAGCAACTTAACCCTCTGCAGCTTGCGCAGCTTCAGGCCCTGCAGCAGAATGGACAGCTGAACGGCCAAGGTCTTGGTCTTCAGGCTAGTCAACATGCCCCGCCACAGCTGTCTGCCCAGCAGCAGCAACAACAGCAGCAGCAGCAGCAGCGCAAGACCCTTTTCACTCCTTACTTGCCCCAGGCAAACCTGCCTGCGCTGCTGAGCAATGGCCAATTGGTCGCCGGTATCCTTCGCGTGAACAAGAAGAACCGTTCCGATGCCTACGTAACCACTCCAGACCTGGACGCAGATATCTTCATCTGTGGTAGCAAAGACCGTAACCGTGCCCTTGAGGGTGACTTTGTTGCCGTTGAACTGCTGGATGTGGACGAAGTTTGGTCGCAGAAGAAAGAAAAGGAGGAGAAGAAGAAGCGCAAAGATATCACCGAGGCTCGTGCCGGCAGCAGTGCTGGGGGTGACAAGCTGTCTCGGTCTGACTCTGGCGCCAACGGGGACCGTCAGGAGGTTGGACCGGATGGTAGCATCCGTCGCCGTGGCAGTCTCCGCCAGCGGCCCACCCAGAAGAAGAACGACGATGTCGAAGTCGAAGGTCAGAGCCTTCTCTTGGTTGAAGAAGACGAAATCAGTGACGAGCAGAAGCCACTGTATGCGGGCCACATCGTGGCTGTTATCGAGCGCATTGCGGGGCAGATGTTCTCGGGAACACTTGGTCTCCTTCGTCCCAGTAGCCAGGCGACGAAGGAGAAGCAGGAGGCCGAGCGGCTGGCCAGAGATGGTGGCCACGGCCGTCAGCAACAGGAACGCCAGCAGGACAAGCCTAAGATCGTGTGGTTTAAGCCTACTGACAAGCGTGTTCCCTTGATTGCTATCCCAACAGAGCAGGCTCCTCGGGATTTCGTTGAGAAGCACCAAGAGTACGCCAACCGCATCTTCGTTGCATGCATTAAGCGGTGGCCGATCACTTCCCTGCATCCCTTTGGTACTCTAGTCGAGCAGCTTGGAGAGATGGGCGATCTGAAGGTGGAGACTGAAGCTCTTCTTCGAGACAACAACTTCGGTTCTGATGAGTTCTCTGATGCCGTGCTCAAGAGTATTGGATGGGATGACTGGTCTGTTTCCAATGAGAACGAAGCTGTCCTAGCCACTCGTCGCGATTTCCGTCAGGAAACTACTTTCACCGTCAACCCTAGCGGTACCAAGGAACTTGACAATGCCTTCCATATCAAGCCTCTCGCCGATGGAAAGGTGGAAGTTGGTGTTCACGTCACAGACATTGCTCACTTTGTCAAAGCCAACTCCCTGGTTGACCGCGAGGCCAAGAAGCGGGGAACTGCTGTCTATCTCATGAACCGCCTCGTGAACATGCTACCCACTCGTGTCTCCAATGAGCTTTGCGCTTTGCTGCCCGGCGAAGACCGCTTCACGGTTAGCGTTGTGTTCAAGGCTAACCCCGAGACCGGTGCTATCGATGATGATGTCTGGATCGGTAAGGCGATCATCAAGAGCTCTGGTCGACTCAGCTATGATGAGGTCGATGCCGCGATCCAGGGCACGTCTGCTCTCGCTGTCCCTGGCATCACTGCCGACACCCTCAGGGCGTTGTACGCTGTCACGTCAAAGTTCAGGGAGGCAAGGCTCGGTAACCGGGTCTCTCGTATTCCTCCTCTTCGTCTGCTGTATCAGCTGGATGACGAAAATGTGCCCGTTGAGCACAACATCTTCCACTCTTCCCCTGTCCGGGAACTTGTGGAAGAGCTTAGCTACAAGGCCAACTTCCTTGTGGCACGCAAGTTGGTCACTGCTTTGCCCGACAAGGCCTTCCTGCGTCGCCAGATGTCGCCAAATGCTCGCCGTCTCCACCTCTTTGTTGAGCGGATGAACAGGCTCGGCTATGGTCTGGATTCGACCAGCAGTGGAACTTTGCAGAGCAGTCTCTGCCAAGTCCAGGATGATGACTTGCGTAAGGTGAGTTTCGTGGTCATATTAGAAAGAGCTATTGTCCGGTCTACTAACAATGATTGCAGGGTATGGAGACTATATTGCACAAGGCTATGCAACGTGCGAAGTACTATGTGGCCAGCAGTGTGCAGGATGATCAGCGTCAACATTACACTCTGAACCTGCCCGTGTACACACATTTCACCAATCCTTTCCGCCGCTACGCAGATATTGTCGTTCATCGCCAGCTGGAATCCGTCCTGTCTGATGGTGCGATTGAATTCTCTGATGACTTGGAGTCATTGACCAAGACCGCCGACCTCTGCAACAACAAGAAGGATTCCGCTCACAATGCTCAAGAACAGAGCGTTCACATCGAAGCATGCAGAAGCATGGACAAGGAGCGACAGGAAGTTGGTGGTGACCTCATTAGCGAGGGTATTGTGATCTGTGTATACGAGTCCGCCTTCGACGTGCTGATCCCAGAGTATGGCTTCGAAAAGCGGGTCCACTGTGATCAATTGCCCTTGAAGAAGGCTGAGTATCGCAAGGACACGCGTGTGCTGGAGCTCTACTGGGAGAAGGGCGTGCCGTCCTCGGCTTATGTCCCTGAGGATGAGCGGCCCAAGCCTGCAAACTCCCGTGCGGCTCAAGCTGCAGCTGCAGCTCGTGAAGCAGAAGCTGCCAGAGAACGTGCCCGGGAGCGCGAAGA